GTTGTTTGAAGAGCAGCTGTCATCATTGAATCGCTTTGTTCGTGCCACAGCTGTCGCCTAGCGACAGGGGCCACTGAAGTGAAAGAATGTCTTTTGAGATATATTGTACTAAAGACGCAACACTTTTGTATATGTATTTATCGTTGTGTTCCTGTAGCCTCGTGGTGGTTGTGCTCTCATGGTCGAAGGGATTTTACTTATGATTTCTGACAGCCAGTTTAACAAAGTGTGTCCTGGAGTTTCTCTGGGAAAGTGCACGACATGATTTCTTTAACTCTTTAAAATCTCCTTAATTAAGGCTCTACTTAAAGCAATGCAGCAGCAGCTTGATTTAGAAACTGACATCATAGATTCAATTTCAGAGATCTGACCTAAATTTGTTGTGCACATGTGCGGATTTTAATCATGCCCTCAAGCTCAGTCTTAAGAGATGAGAAAAATGTACTGACGAGTTGGTAAACTTTCCATGTAGCACACAGTGACCTCTGCAGGTTCATTTATTAAAGAAGGACGCTGGCTGGGACTGAAGCTAAAGCAGCTGATACACTTGTCTCTGTATATCACAGTAGAAGTCAATATATAGGCCTGTAATTTGGTAGAACTGCATATCACAACATATTGGCTGCTACGCTGCCCATATAATGCAGCAGTCTGCCCTGAAGAGTCACACACGACGAGACCCTAACACACCCTCGTCTGTTCAGAAGACTAACTGTAGCTGTCAGGTTTGACTTGTGTTATTAATCAAAGCTCCTCAGTAATCTCTCCAAGGAGCGTTTTAGAGCTTCATTTTCTGCCACTGCACTCGTACCAGACATGCAAGTGTAACACTAGCTAATAAACACCTACTGTACCTGCAGAGCATGCTCAACAAACAACAATGGGATGTGTTTGGTAGACTTACTATGTCAATTGCAGAACCTCCTTATTGTTTTTGTGGTTTTATTTTATTTTTTTCATTAATTTGAATTTTATTTTATGGTTTGGAAAAAAAAGTGTTTATTGTGATTACTTGTTAATTAGTGATGTGATTGTTGAATATGAAATAAAATGGACTAAAACTCTCATCAGTGTGTTATTTTTCTTCCTTTACAGCCAGATTTATTGAGAGATGTAAACCTCGCATGGTGTCCCAAGAGCAGGTTTTATCAGCTTTTGAGTTAATACATGAGTGTACTTCAACTTGAATGAAATCCTTTTTCCCTTTTAACTATTGTAAATGACTGCTCTGCCCTTACAGGCTGCATGCATAAAACTAGGTAACAGTTCGTTATGTTACTCATACAGTATGTCAAAGTCTGGAGAGCTGTTTGATATTGTTAAAAAAATGCCTTGATTGCTGATCTTTTCAGCTGACACAGTGCATGCTTTTTGTACATAGCATTGTGGTGCACAAATGCATGGTGAAAGTGCAACATGATATATTTAGAAACCCTTTAAATTTCTTTTGTTGCACACTTTATTTTACGTACAATCGTTTAGGACATGCATTTTCATTTTGTGGACACTTGCTTGTGCAGACATGTAGGTATTTAAATGTACTCTGAGATTCAAAAGCAGTTTGATTAATTGGAAAATTGAAAATTATAAAACTGTTGTTTTAGAAACACAGCTTTTTACAGGCTGGGCTGGCTGGTAAGAGAGCTGATGGCAGTGAATTTAAGTGTATGTTAACCGGTGCTAAGCCCCGCAATCATTTTAATGAAGCTACTTGCATGTCCTTTTTGCTCTATTCCTACTTAAACACTTTTTTTTATTCCACGTAGCATTAATTCATGAATTTGTGTTCATAGAAAATTAAACATCACATACTTTTGGTATAATTTCAGGAAAAGTACAGTTATAATTCATCAATAACAGTCCCACCGACCTACCTAACAGCCTCAGGAAGACTTGAAGTCAAGTATGACTTGCAAAAGCAGGGCCATAGAGCTAGGTTAGAGGAAGTGATTGATTTGAGAAGCCAGTACAAAGATGAATATGTGTATGAAGTAGGTTTTCATTTGGAAATCCCATCCTAGATGTTGCTTTTGGAATGTTACAATCAGGCCTATCCGTCTTCTCTCACAACCAGATTAATACAGAGCCTTTTTTTTATCTTTTAACTTATTTTTGAGAAAGCCTTTTAGGGGGATTATTTAAAATTCTCTCCAGTTCCTGAATTTGCTAATATACACAATACAACAACAACAGCAAAAAGATAACTGAAACAAACTGGGTGTTTTCATTCTGGCAAGACACTTAAAGTGAAGTGAAACTTGACAGAAATAAAGTCTCAGTGTATTTCGTTTCCAACCAACATATTCGAAGCACTGACTGTTTCAGTGGCGATTGCTCTAAGACTGCAAGGGAAGCTCGGCTTCCCTTAAAATGTCACCCCCCCAAAAAAAGAAAAAGTGGTGAAATACGTACTGCTGTGTGTACATTTCATTAACTAAATACGCACTAGAAAGCCTTCATCTTTTGTTCAGACACTGTGATAAGAAGCTGATAATTATAGGTAACCGGCATAACTTCGTTCTCATTCATCCTCGCAGCGCCTCAGCGCTTTAAACAGCCGGACGCTGGGCTTCTGCTGACTTCAATGTGGAAGCTAAAAGTGGGTTGTTCCAGCAGCGAAACTAGACGCTCATTGGATAAATGCTGGGCTTTGTCCCGCCCAATGGAAGCTAAGCTTCACTGGAGTTCTATGGCGAGAGGGCGGTCCCGACTTTCTCCCGGACTGCAAGCTTCTGCATCCATGATTGGATGAGCTGTCTGAGGCGAAATCCTTTTTTGATTGACAGCTAAACAAGCGAATCAGCGATCTTGAAGAATAAAACATCTACCAGAGCATTTTCCAAGTCATTCATTCCGTTGTTCTTAACTGCTCCGGAGACTTTACCGATCCTCAGCGACTTCTGTCTTTATTAAAAACGACTGCCGTTGTGTTTGGCGACTCTGTTCTGTTACATACTAATAAACAAATACAATTATGATGTAAGCCAGAAAAATGAGCTTCCCCTCATTGAAAGACCAGCAGCCGCCACTGGACTGTTTATAGATATGAGTCAAAGTTGGAAAACTGTAGCCTGCTTTTGCTGAAACAAATGCAGACACTGAACTCTAGTGGGGTTTGGAAGAATTTTATGGGCTGAAATATGTACCACTAAAAATTGAATTTGAATAATTTTCATTTGAATTTGAATCGCTAAACTTGAATAATTGAATCAAAAAATTGAATTTGAATCACATCATTTGAAATTGTATTGTTTAATTTGCTTAATAGCTTGTATTTCTTTGTAGCGTTCTTTGTGAAAGGGGAAATAAAATTATGGCGATGATAAAAAATCTGTTCAGATTTAATCATTCTTACAAAACTGTAGGCTGACAGTAGGTAAAGTCCACTAACTGCTTCAAGAATAACATGTCACAATTTTATACTACAAGTATGTTTCTGTCGGATACAAAAGTGTACTAATTTATTGAATTGTCCATATTGATAAAGTCATATAAAATTTGTTGGTGTATGATTTTTTATTATTAATTAAGTGGAACAATACAGTCATTATTTATAGCAGGGCACTTTTGTGTAGAAATAGCACCTTCTGGTGGACAGTTATATTTGAAGGAGTTTTTTTTTTTTTTTTTTAGAAACCACCTGAGTTTATGACTAGAATTAAAGATTTAAAGATGAAAATTTCTTATTATTGTACGTGTAATGTTACAGATATTTTAACTTTAAGACTCCTTGTTGAACTTTGTCCATATTTATCTGGTTTCAAAACAACATTATATAAAAATGCGGCTGCTTTAGCAATACAGTAACTTTTAAGTCATGACAAAAAAACCTTAGACTGATTAAATTTACAGAAACAAACACAGCAGGCCAGTTGAGTACCCACACTCTTTTACTACGAAGCCACGCTGTTGTAACACGTGCAGAATGTGGCTTGGCATTGTCTTGCTGAATTAAGCAGGGGCGTCCATGACGTTGCTTGGATGGCAGCATATGTTGCTCTAAAACCTGTATGTACCTTTCAGCATTAATGTTGCCTTCACAGATGTGTAAGTTACCCATGCCTTGGGCACTAATGCACCCCCATACCATCACAGATGCTGGCTTTTGAACTTTGTGTCGATAACAGTACGGATGGTTCTTTTCCTGCTGACCTGTGGGATGTTCAAGATAGGTGTTTGATGAGCATTCCTCAAATTTCTTAGTATTTTTTTTCCACCTTTCCCAACCTCTTTGGCACGTGTTGCTGCCATCAAATTCTAAAGTTAATTGTTATTTGCAAAAAATATATATATGTATCAGTTTGAACATTAAATATCTTGTCTTTGTAGTATATTCAATTGAATATGGGTTGAAAAGGAATTGCAAATTATTTTATTCCGTTTTTATTTACGATTTACACATCTTCCAAACTTCATTGGAATTGGGTTTTGTAGTTTTCAGCTTCTCACCATGTTTTAACTCTACTGTGTTAAAATACAGAGTAATGTCACTTTCATCTGCGTTAAGTACATCTTTAATACAATCAAACAGCCTTTTTTCAGCCTGGTGGAGCTAAAGAGGATTTAATTAACACTAATAAATATAAGATATATCCTTTAGATCATGTTGAAACCTTTATTGTGATACTCTTGAGGCTGCAGAGAGGTTTCTGTGAGCAGTGTCAGATAATTTTCTCCACAGTTAAACTAGAACCAAAGGAGCCTAAAAACCAGCTAAACTCTCACATGTTGAATCTTAGCGCTGAAATATGAAACTATAGCTGTGATACAAAGAAAATCCTCTAACCTTAGAGCTTCAGCTCAGGAAAGATGAGTATATATAAGTGTAATATATATAAGTATATATAAGTGATATAAGTGTAACTTATGTACAGTCTATTGTCGGGACCCACGAGTTGAGAACCACCAGTATTTACTATACGGCCTATGATTGTTCCGTAGTTGGACGGTAGGGGGCGGCAGCTCACCTTTCAGCTACTATTCTGCTTACAATCTAAAAAGAATAAGAAGGTTACCGTGGTAACGTCAACACCTTTAGGCAGAGCTAGCTACAGTGTTTTTCAAGCTTTATTGAAATTCTCCTCGGTAAGTTTACGCCGTTTATTCAGAACTGTTCAAATTTAAGGGGGAATTAGACGATTGACGAAAACGACAATGAATGAGTTTATGTTATCGTACTTGGACGTTTGTTAGCTTATCCATGCTACATCACGCAACGAACTGATGATTTGCAACGTAATTTAAGCTCTGAATACTTTCAAAAAACGTTTTAGGTGCTCAGAGATATTCTGTGCAGGGTCTTTGTTTAGTCGACACGGTATGAAAAGGTAGAAAGTGTACATTCCTGTGTAATCAAAGAGTGAACTGTGTGCTTCAGACTCTGTACCCCAGCTGTATATCTCCAACAGAAATGGACATGCTCTTGTGAACACGCAGCCCTTACCGACAAGGACTGAGCAACAACAAAACTACCAGACTGTAGTATAACACTTAAGTCGTGCTTTTTTTGTTCTTATATGTTCATTTTTTTCAAGCATCATGTCCAGTCAGCGGCCTCCTTCAGGCATGGGTCGCCCGGCTAGTCGCAGTGGGTCTGTGATCCCTGGAGCTGGAAGGCCCCCAACAGCCATCCGACCTCCTCCTACAGCTTTACGGGTTGCGACTGGGGTGAGTTCTCTGAGTTAGGATGTGCTTTACATTTCAAGATAGTTTGTCTGCCAATAGATAGGGGAGAGTGGGGTAAGTTGAGCCACCCTCTGTTGCTTGTAAATGGTAAAAGAAAGTGATCATGTGACCAAATATTTAGGAGATGGGCATCAATTCATGGAGTCTGTGAAGGTTAGAAGCACATGGGTCAAGTTTTATTAGAATTGTGTTCAGACCAAAAAAGATCATTTTAAATTTGTTTTAAGCATCAATTGTGGTATCTATGAGCTCCAACATGAGGTCAAAAACCTAGCATAAAAGTCCACCAATTTAGCTTAGAGGACTAATAAAGTCATCATAGTAGTTCTGGGGTAAGTTGATCCGGTGGGTCAATTGAGAAAGTAAAGAAGTCCGATTAAAAGGTCTGAGTTTTAGCTCAGATTGTTGAAACGTGTTACTTTTTCTTTTCAAAAATACAGCTGTGAATGTTCTGAATCACTTAAAGGTATTCTCATGTTAAAATGTCTTTTTTACAAAACAGCAAAAAATTTAAAAAAAAAAAATTATTGTGCCAGTTGAATATCGTATAAAAGATAAAAATACACATGAATGTGAAGAAGTGACTATTATTTAGGGAGAGAGAAGGTGAGGGAGGGCTGGGGTGGAAAGTGGGGGGTAGTAGGGATACTGCTCAACTTACCCCGCTCCTATGGTCAACTTACCCCATACATGGGGTAAGTTGACACAGGAGACCACTTTTTTTGGCATGCTATATTATCAAGACAGTTCTGTTTACACTCATTCTGTTGGTTTGCAGGGATGCACAACATCTTGAAATATATACACTAGTTAGAGACAAAACTATGATTGCCTTGATGTAGTGATCCCAAATATGAAAAGAAGCTCATCTTACCCCATCCCTCGACCCAGTTTGAGTATAATAAGTATGAAAATATGTCAACTTAAATTGTAATGTTATAACATTAAATTCACAATGTCTGAATATAGAGTTTATGTTTACCCATTTAGAAACTCCAAAATTGGAGCTAACTAAATAGAATTTTAGTTAAACAGAAGAATAGATTATTTTTTCTAACGATTTCTTGCACTCCCTGTTTCTGTGTCTCATTAAGTAAGCTTTTTTTGTGTGACTTTTTAAAGAGAGATGCTAAAAAAAGAACTCATTCTCTCACTATCAAACTAGTACAACAATTTAAACTGATTCATGTACATGTGGTGCAGGGAACTTTATGTATTGAATTTGAGATTGTTTCCTGATAAACACCTAAATTTACAGAGGCACGAGTTTATCAAAATCAACAGAGATGATTGAATTATTAAAATTTTAGTTTGGGTGACTATGTTCAATATAATCTGTTTTTTTTCTACAAATGAGGTTGTACAAATCCAGTCTCATGGATGTGTTTCTTTCATTTTCTATTCAGATAGTTCCAGGTACAAGTGGTCATTCTGGTATGAGGGGCGGCATCCCCATTGCCACTCCTGGAGTCCTGTCAGCACAAATCAAAGTCACAGACAGGCCTGTGACCCAGCAGGGGCTCAGTGGGATGAAGACTGGCATGAAAGGTGAATAAAAGAGGGCACTGCACTCTTTTCACATGGAGAGATTTATATTTAAATTTTGGAGTTAAATCTTTGTGTTACATACATGTCAGAGTCTCATGTCTCATCATCTCCTGTCCTATCCTATTTCCAAAAGGACCTCAGCGACAAATTCTGGACAAGTCCTACTACTTGGGCCTTCTGAGGTAACACAAGTCCTGCTACTATTTTTATAACACATGTCAAGTCCAACCACTCCTTGAACTTACCATTTGAACATTTAAATATTTAACATTTGACATGAACATATTATTTTGCTGTTGTACTTTCAGGAGTAAGATCAACGAGTTAACAACAGAAACCAGCAAACTGCACAAAGAAATTGACAACTTCAGCCAAGAGAATTCAGTGTATCTCTCCTATGAGAAGAGGTAAGAGAGAGTTTTATTGTTAAAATTGATGCTGTACATTCCCTCGGCCTGCATTTATGTAATGGCGTTAATCAGTCAGACAAGTACATTGCAAGTTAAACCCGAAATTCTGTTCTCCAGTCGGGACAGGCAAGACATAAAACTAGTCTAATAGCAACATAGTTTTACCAAATCCCATAAGGATTTCAGGATGTGAATCAGTCATGATATTTAGTGAAGTGGAATCTAAACAGCTCAAATAAAAAACACCCTGAATCACAGGCGCTGTGTTGTTTTTTACTCTTTCAGAGCAGAAGGCCTCGCTGGTGAGATCAAAGACTTACAGGGCCAGCTTGCAGACTACAACATGGTAAACAGATGCCCACTCTAGTTTTTTAGCCGTAGTCTTTTTTTTGAAGAGTGGCCACTGGAAGAAGAAGTCGGATCTTTATACTGATGCATTGATTCTAGGTTATCCATTTGGAATTGTTAGTAAGTTGTAGAAAGAAATGAAACACTAATAGTAAATGCTCTAACATTATCACTATTAGAGAAGTTCAGCAGCTTAATGATTATAAATGTTTGCTCAATGTCAGAATATTTATCTGTAGCTTAACATCATTTGAGTCTTAGTTGTGTGGTTGAAAGGCGTAAGAGCCTGGTATATTACACTGTGTTTCAAAATCTTGCAGTCTTGTTTGCAGAAGACTTTGTCCCCCTAATTAAACATCAATGAGTTTTAATGGTATGGAGTAAATGTTCTGTAAACCATGTTTGTGTTGCTCTCTTTTTGTATCTCCAGCTGGTTGACAAGCTCAACACTAACACAGAGATGGAGGAAATGATCAACGACTACAACATGGTTAGTAAGCAAAGCATGTAAGCTGTAAGGTTGCTTTTCAGACTTTTCTTGTGTGAAAGTTAGGAGTGTATACTGAAAATGCCCTCTTTTTTAAATGTCCTTTTTTTTTAACTTGTCGCTCCAGTTGAAAGCCCAGAACGACAGCGAGGCTGAAGGCATCGACAGCATTTTCACTGAAAGGAGAGAGTGAGTACTTGATGGCTATTCTGTATTGTTATTGCAGTGTTCTCTTAAGTGCAGTTGAACTGTACTTTCTTTGATTTACAGTATTGTTAACATGAGACAAACTATCAGCTAGGTGAACATTTGTAAGGTTAGTCAGTGGATGTGCAAATGTGGCTTGCATGTATTATTCAGATTTTTTCCAGGTTGGTTATTGGGGTTTAAATCAACATTCTTTGCAGGTTAACCAAAATCTGACACACCAACATGATCCAATCATGTCTTTATTGACATCACATAGTGCAAAGTTGAAAACATTCAAATAGCTAAAATGCCCTCAAATCATGTAGCATTAAGGAAAATCTTCTCCTGTACTCTGGTAGCCAAAATTCTATAGCTCTTCAGACTCTTTTTATTTTCCCCAGTCTGAACCCAGACCCTGCAAGAAAGGTTTGAAAATCCCCTCTTTATCAATCTTACCATGCATTCTGTACTCTGATATAGGGAGTTTTCCTTGCACTACCAAAAACTCAGATTTCTCAGTCACACTTTCAGGTGATGAAAGACTCCAAAGAGCCTGTTCTTGCTGTTCCATCACCCAGTTGCAGCGTATTTATATCACTCTGGATGTATGCATTTGGCATGGTTAATGCATACAGAATCTTAGCCACAAAAAGCTGTGTCTTACAACTCCAGACAAAATGATTTTGTGTCAGTGTTTCATCAAGAGGCAGCTGGAGACTGGAGTATTCTTTGCAACAGGTTTTGTGCAATTTTATAAGTGCACTGAGTTTGCTTGTTATGCATCTTAAAGGCTGAGCTCTCTTTTGCTCCTCTCTTTTGCTATCGCTTCACAGTGATAGCAAATACAGGTTACCAGGGTAACATTAAATTGGGGTAATATGTGATTGAATACTGGGTCTAAGGTCACTAAGCTTTTTGCAAACCACTCTAAATACTCAGTCAGATGGGAGAATGCCAATGGCTTTGCAGTCTAACTTTGGTTATAGTCCTTGTCACAGGGGCTGCTGGTTCGACTCCTTGCCACAATCTTTTGCTCTACTCCCCTCATTACCTGTCTCTCTTCAGCTATCCTATCTAATAAAGGAAAAAATGCCCCAAACAACATAACTATTAAAAAAATGAGAAGTGGTGTCTATTTACTGACGTCCATAAAATGTACCTTAAAAGTACAGGTATTTGGAGTTGAAAAGGTCTTTCAACCTCCATCTGTACACTTTTGAAGTAGAAGTATGATTGTATTTTTGATTGCAAGATTGCACGATCATTTTTGATATTGATATTGCTACAGCTCAACGAACAGAATGACAAAAGCCATATGGTGGTTGGGAAATAAGCAGTGGAATAGAGGAATAACTCTTTAGCACAATACAACAGCCCCCCAGTGAACACATTTCCTCAGCTTCATCAGTCACTGTTTGGGTCTTCATGTTCTAATTGAAGTGTCCTCTCCCTTCTGTCACTCTTCCCTCTTGATATATGGGTCTTCATAGTACCCATCCTCATCCTCTTCTACCTCTTCTATCTTCCTGTTCTCTCGCTCAAAGTTGAAAGTCTGATGTTTGAGGGGCTTTCCCGTTCTTGAGAAAAATGTCGACACAACGCCCGTCTCGTCTCCGGTGGAGTGCAGTCGCCGATGACGGTAGTTGTGGAAGAGCTTGTACCAGGAGGGGCCCTTTATGGCGCATACGATGAGCAGGCATGTGAATAACGCCAAAACTGCGACACAGGCTGTAAACTTCCATGTGTTTCCAGACACAGGTGTTGGGACTAGTAGAAAGAAAGAAGAGCGTAGTATGTACTGCTTTACTTCGTTTTTGACATCTTAAAATCGGACATAAACCAAATGTCTTTGTTTTACCTTGGGTGAGATCTCTGTGCTGGTTTGTTGTGGTCTTCAGTATAGACTTCTTCACATTGACAGTTGTAGGTGGTTTTTGAGGGCGTGTGATGATGGTGGTTGGTGGTGATGGGTAACATGCAGCTGTAACCTCTAAAAGATCCCTTCCTGTCTGATTTCCTGGAGAAACACAGCTGGCTTTCGGTCCATTTGTAGAGCCTGACATCACATAAAACAAATAAATCGATACAACTGTTGAATATTCAGTGAAGCTCCCTTTGACTAGTATGACTGCATTTTCTCATTACCAATCTGAATATGCAACCTGATCCCTTTTGTATTTATGGTTTACCAAAATGGCAATCTTTAGACCGTGAGTTGCAATATATGATTACCAATGGAAACTCCTCCTGCTTTGACTTCTTCTATGGTTTTCAGCAGTGGACAGGAACAGTTCCAGGGGTTACCATGAAGGTTGAGCACCTAATGGGCCCAGACAGAGTCAGGTTTAACCATTAATTATAACACAACACAGCTAGATCTAAAATAGACGCTCTAAGGTTTACAATTACCTTTCATATGTTTGAATTAATATGACAGGTACATATGTATGGTATAATTTTACTGATAAATCACTTTTTTTTCTTCTTGCATATCAACTTAAACCCTGAAGAAATGAAAAGATTGTGTTTCAGCTTCATAATACACTCATAAGTACATTTTAACATTTTTAGTTATGACAAATGTAGGTGTAATAATGTGTTGATGGATTGTAATAGGGTGTACCTGTAGATGATGGAGGCCTCTGAATAGCTGTGTATGCAAGCTTGTCAGCAGGTTGTTGGACAGGTCCAGCTCTGTTAGGAAATCCAGGCCAGAAAATGACTCTGGGTCCAGACTGCAGGTACATACAATAGTAAGAGAAATTGTATATGCACTATTGGCATGCAATGATAATAAAAACATTTCAGAGGCCCCATACTTTTTTTTTTTTTTTTTTTTTTTTACAAAGAAACATTCTGAATGACCTCAGAAGTCCAAAGTAGCAACAGACATGCAACACTCTTGTATTTTCAGTATATCATGTAGTGACAGCAGAAATCAGTTTTTTTCTTTCCACATATTAAAAGGCCCCTTTCTAGACTGAAAGCTAGCGTTTTAATTCATTTCTCTGTATTTTACCTCTTGATGTCGTTCTTAGACAGAGACAGCACTGTGAGATTTGGTACCACTGAGAAGTACTTTGCAGGTACACTTCTCACTCTGCTGCCTTCCAGGTGGAGTTCGACCAAATCAGGATAAGTGGCCAAGGCCAGCCTGTCAGCCTCACTCAGAGTAATCAGACTCCCTTCAATCAACAGTTTTGTAATCGAGGAACTGTTGCCAATAGGAGGGATGACCTTAAGAGGCATGTTGGTCAGTTTCTTCACCTGCTGATGAATGATATTTGGAAGGATGAAAAGTTACTACAGTGAATGAATTAGAATACACAAGCACAGAATGAATGAGACATTTGAGATATCCTGACTTAAGTTGGCAGTGTTTGCAAAAAAGATATTTTCCATCACCAAGACCTGTCTCAATAGAAAAAACAAACATAAATTCTAACCGGTTCATCTTCTTCCACAGCATCACTGCCGTGAATATTAAAAGCTGCCACTGCAGTCAACAGCAGTAACAAAAGAGGTTGCCAACACCGTTTCATCATCCCACCCTGAAAAGAAAACAGAAAAGCACTATCATTTTTTAGTAATCTTCTAGTTTACCTAAGATACTGACTTTTGTTCCTCACTAACACTATTGGTGTTGTCTTTAAAGTTTCTATTTTCTGTTGTTACAGAGATTACTTTTATTCATAAAGCTGGACCCCTCTCTCCAGTGGTCATTAGTGGCATTTTTCTGAATTACAATATTGTATTTATAGCTGATTAGGAAAATTCTCTAACTGACTCACAGTGTGCTTATCTGGTTATTATACCATTGCACGAATAAACACTGTGTGAACTATGAAACAAAGAATGCACAGTACCAGCATTAACTATAAACCCTCACTTACCCATCTTCTTAGAAGAAGCAGAGAATTGGTGACAACAGAAACAGATATTTTTGCTAGTTTTAACAAGCAGAGATACCATGTGTCAGACTTAAACTGGTGTGACCATTGGTATCTTATTTGTCACACCTCTGTTGTTGGGGTGAGATAACCTTTGTTATGAGTGTTTGACCAATAAGAATGAACCACTTACACGACAGGGAAGCAAAACAGTAGGATCCTATTGTAAACTACACAATATTAATTACCCTATGCTTTATCATACTATGGTACACTTAACTGTACAATACAGTTCTATGCTATACTATACTTAACTATACTATGCTCTACTAAACTATATCATACCGTATTTAACTATACCATCTATATTAAAGCATACAATTATATCCTATACATAATGATACTATAATGCTCCATACTATACTATGCTTTTATACAATAATATAACTCGCAATAGCAAGGTGCCCTTTACTGTACTTTGCTATTCAATACTGTACTATACTTAACACGACTATACTATCCATACTATATTGTATTATATTATACTACACTATGCAACTTAATGCTTTGCATTAGTACAGCACACCACACCAAACCATACTTTGGTTCACAATTCTAAACAGTGCTAAACTGTGCCATATAATGCTATATTGTACTGTTCCATGCTCTACTACATACACTATTCTGTCCCTACGAGATTACACTTACTATACTTTACTTAATTATACATAACTATGCTGTTATGCTACACTAAACTATGGTAAGCTAAACTATACAGTGTGATAATTTTCAGTTCTACAATATACTATAAAAAAAACTCTAATCTGTACTGTACTTCACTGTATTATACTGTATAATGCTATGCCATTGCACACTATGCCATACCAAGTTTCACCATACTATACTATACTATACTATACTATACTATACTGTTTCATGCCATACTTTACCCGGTTAAAATGTGTTTTTTTTGCGATGCTGCGCTGGACTATTGTACACTCTACTAAGTTGTGCTTTGCTTTACGGTGTTATACCACACAATACAATATTAAACTATTGATTTCATAGTTTTCCTCTTTATGCTACTCCCTGTAAACTAGACTGTACTATATAATGCTATTCTATACTAAACTACACTGCACTTTACTGTTATATACTATACTACATTACATATACATATACAACTATGCTCCACTATGTTATACTTATATATATTATACTTCACTGCACTGCATTACACTACCCTACACTACATCCTCTTATACCTTGCTATGCTTTTCAGTGTTTAGCCATGCTTAGCAAGGCTACAATATGCCTTGCTCTGCAATACTTGACTTTGGTTCTCTATACTGTGCTATCAAAGTTCTACTTTTTTTTAAACGTACCTTTTGTTGTGAAAGAAAGCCAAGAACGGAAACTACAACAGAGAAGTAAAATGCAGCATTTCACGACAACATTCAGCCATTTCGTAAACAGTTTATCTTCCTTATTCATGTTTGATGCTTTTCTACTCTCATAGACAGAGTATACACAGAGTAACTGAGTATAACACAGACAAAATCTTTTATGGTTGTAAGATGGTTTCCATTGTCCTACAAGTCACAAGACACCAAGTGCAATCACAACTTAATGAGCTTGTTTGTTGGGAGCGACATTACATGAAGAGAAAGAGTGCCTTTTCTTTTCATGAACCCACAGATGTCAGCTTAAAATCTTCTAACCTACATTTGCAGTCTATTCTGTTGGATTTCAAACTTAATTCTTATTTAGTCAGTATTCTTGTTTTTTGAATTATAATCAGACACTTACCTGGACGTCAACTGGCACTCAGGTGAATTCAGGATCACCTGTCAGTGAGATGCAGCCTGCTTACGCTGACCTTTGGTCCATGTTGTAAAACCTGACACATACTGTTACACATTCAGAGACCTACTTACTTCATCACTTCCTCGTTTTAGTTCGAACCTTTTTCACGCTTCTGTTGTAAACAACTCTTGTTAGAAGAATTTTAGTATAGCAGCAACTTAGTGAATAGGATTAAGCTTTTTTTTCAAATCTGGTTTTAGGGAAGAAGCTTTACAAGCTGAGGAAACAGTGACCAGGGCACAGGGGGGTATTTATAAAACTGAATGGAAAAATGCAAAAGAAGAAGAAGTAAGAGGGCTTACAGGACATGAAGTGAAAAAAACAACAAGATGGAAAAGAGGAACATGATACTGTAAATTTAATTTACCACCTGACAACTCATTGACCTTTCCCTGTCTGCATCCTTGCATCACCTATCTTATCTGTCAGTTATATGTGGCCAAGTACTTTTGTCACATGTCTCCCTCCCTGCCCTTATACATGAGGTGAGGCACATATAAGAATGAAACAGAAAGATTACAGCCTCTTCTCGCCTGTTTTCTTCGCTCTACAGGAGAGAAGAAGCTATCAGGGCGATTGAGGAGGAGATCAAGAGGGAGAGGAGGGTGGCTGATGAGATCATTCAACAAATGCCAGCTGTAAAGCAAGAGAAGTATTTCACCATGACAACAGCCAATGAGGAGCTGTTGCAGGTATAAATGTGACCTTGTATTCTTTTACTCAAATTGCTCAACTTGTTGATGAAAAATGCTCTTATCATCCGTTAGATGTAGCTTGATTAAATCACCCGCTGACGAGATAAAACTCAATTGTAGTACATTTACACATAAAACATAAAAACATGTAGCAACATAACAGATTAAGGCGGTTACATACAGTTTCATGTTCCTATACCACAATAATATTGTACTCATACTCTACTTTAACAAAATGAATAAATTAATCTTAATTTATCAATTTATTAATGTTTATTTGTATGATACATTTTTCTTTCCAGGAGCTGACTGTTCTCCAGGAGGAGCTGGACATTCTAGTAACTAGGAAAGAGGACTATGAAGCTGTAAGTTGGAGTAAAAAGTTGGGGGAGTTTGTGGTTAACATACATTAAATTTATCTGAACTGAATAGGTAGGCTTTGTTGTTCATAATAAGCCAGGATACAACAACATTAAGACCACTGCTCCTGGTTGGTGCATTGTACAGACTGTATAACACATGGACATTGCCTCAGTAGGTTGCCCACTGGGTTTGTAAGGCCCAGTTTTGAAGCTTATTTATGATGACCGCCATATTGGAAATGTCGACTCAACCTAACTTTTGGTCGACTCACCAGGAAGCAAAGAAGTGGAGTTGAGCCAAACCTTTAGGTTATAAAATAGAAACTCCCTACAGTGTTTCTGAATAGAGGCATGAGCTATTTGGCCCATTTGTTTTTTTCATGTTAAAGCTCCTGTAAGGAACTTTCGGTCTGTTTGAATTTTGGCGTCCCCTATGGACAAAGCAGACTTTGTTTATATTTTCTTCTATGTGCTTTGTCTTCCGACAAAAATGTTGATCCTATTGGCTTTTTGGTGAATATTTAATGTGGAAAATGTAAACAAAAATATTGTCCTCCTACGTGCAGGAGCTGGCACACTCACACATAAAGCAGGAAGTGGTTCGTCTGCATGAGACTCTGTCAGCGCTGGAGATGAAGCGAGATGCCATGGAGGCCGAGCACAAGAGCCTGGGCTCCCCACAGGAGGAGCGGGAGAAATTATTGAAACAGGTTAGTTTTACAAGCAGGCCCTATTTAAACCAGGTAAAGAAAGCATCAGATATAGTGCAGAATTCAAAAAACAAAAATAACAAAAAACAAAACCTACATTTTGTTGCTTGAAAGAAAATCTTGATGCAGTCTTAGTTTCATGTTTGGGTCAACTTAAAGTTCGGGTTGAAATGATTGACTCTAAATGCTGAAGTGTCCTGTGAGGTTTATGGTGCAATCTGGACATGCTCACAATAGGAGTCTTCAGAGAAGTCCACTTGCTTTGTTGGGGTCACTTCAGTGAGACCAGTGATATAACTGTGAGTGATAATGAACTACTGATAGAAACTTCTGTTTTAACTTCCAGGTGAAGGAGGACAATCAGGAAATTGCCAGCATGGAAAGACAGTATGTATTTACATTACTTTCCTCCCTGCTGAGTCATGTGTCTTTTCTTTATTTTGCCTCATTCATCAAATGTGCTTTGAGCTTTCCACTTGCTTACATCTAAATTTAATTTAAATTATGTTTTTAGGCTTACAGAAATCAGAGAAAGGACTGCACAGATCACAGAGGAGATCCGTCAGCTGGAGCAGGATTCAGAGGAAGCACAGGGTAACAACTGAAGAATACTCAATGTTTTTTTTTTTATGTTTGTTTTTTTATGCTGTCTGAAAACGGTTGCATCTGTCATTTTTATGTTACACTGTAAACAACAAACTTTTTTTTAGATAAGTCATGAATTGATGATAACAAAAATTACATTAGTCTTTTGACTTTATTCATCATTAACTGCCAAATGTTTAAATATATGAAAAACAAACTGATTTTTTTCATGTTTAAGACACTGCTTTCATTGGCTTTGTTAGCTTTTGATTAATCCAGATGTTATTGATTTACTTTCTGTAATACAACTTTATAAGAAACAGATTCTATGTGTATTAACATGGACTGACAGTAAAAGTTTTTCCGACAGACCGGTAAGTCTTAAAGGTGTATTTGTCTGTTTAAAAGGTGAGCGTCAGCAGAAATACAAGGAACTGAAGAAAAAAGAAGAGGAAATTGATCGTGAGTAAATTTTTTGACGACATAAATATTGAACATGATTCTGAACTATTTGAAGAATCACAGTTTTAATTAGCTAGTGACAATTTTCAGTGATGTTCCCATGGCTTGCAAACTTTCAAACACATGTAGGTCAGTATTTACATCTTGATCATACATATACTGTATGTTTAAAGAAAGGCATAATTAAAGTCTAATATATCAAAATAAAGTACAGAGTGGCAGAAAGCTATCAGGTCTACAACATAAATCCTCTAGTAGGTCAATACCATAATAACCAACAATACATCCTCACAGTTTAGCTTACTTTGTACAGAAAGGTGAAGGTTGGCAGATACACAGCAGAGTATATTTGCATTTTTTTTCTCTGACTCTACCAGCAGGTGTCACCACAGTCTCTGTATTGTAAATAAGAACAGAACAGCTGTTATGTTACACATCTGTTTGACCAGTTACTGTTTTAACAAGTTAGTAGGGGTAACTTGCTACAGCTCCCTCCTTTTATTTGTTGCAGGGTACCTGGGCTCATTTGAGGACTCAAGGGCTCAGGAGCAGGAGAAGATGACTCAGTGTCAGGAGAACATCGTCTCTCTCCTGGAGCACTGCAGCAGGGTGAGAAAAGGAGGGCAGTCAACAGACATTACCAGAAAAGTTTGGGAAAGAATACCTAGTGTGTTAGTAGTTATGTGTGTTTGTGTGTGTAGAACATGTTACGGCTGCGTCAGGTGGATCGAGTCACTGCCGGTGAGCTGAGGAACATGCAGGAAGTGCTGGTCAGCAAGGAGACAGAGGTGGTTCAATCAGAGAGCACCGCCAGGGGACTGTCAACAGGTGAGCAATATACTCACAGAGCATTGGTAACATCTGCTATATTTGAAAAGTCCAACCAGCTAACTGGTATTCTGTTATTCTGTGCTCACACTAACCTCCTAGAGTCACAGCGTCTGCAGCAAGACCTGGAGAAGGTGCAGCAGCTGGAGGGGAAGATAACAAGTGAGCTCAGCACCCTTAAGGAGCGTGTCAGCACCATGGAGACTGAGCTACACACCTATAGAGACCTGGACACCCTTAGGCACGAAGCAGAGGAGAAGAAAAAGGTCAAACGGGGGACATTAATGCTGAAATTATATAAACGTGTCTTGTTGTGGACCAACTAATTTCACATAAATCTCCTATCTGTTCCCTATCTCCTAAAACAGCAAAACAAAAAGCGAACTGCCTTGTTGTTGTTCTGTTGCAGAGACTACAAGAGGACCGTGTGTCACTATCTCAGCGTCGTGATTCCTTCAAACAGTTGCTGGATGAAATGAACCAGAAATATGAAGCTCTGACAACAAAGCTGCAAGAAAATGAGACTCACACTCAGGTTTGTGACACTGAGAACTGAAAAAACATCACACACATTCACAGGAGCTACAAAATCTGCTAACTAAGTAATGACAATTTATTCTGCGAGGTCTTATTAATAACTTCTGTAGCATCTTGGATCTACTTTTGCATTTACATCCTTACTTCAGATGCAGTTTTGCTTTGATTTCAAACATATCGCTGCGTTGATATTGTACAGCTTGTACTAATTTTGCATTTGGTTTGTTTGCTTTGTTGTGTTTAGCTGACTAACCTTGAAAGGAAGTGGCGACACTTGGAGCAGAACAACTTCGTCATGAAAGAGTGTATCCTTTAAAAACTTGGCTTCATCTCTTGGTTGTTAAGTTTTGGTCCCATTTTAAATAATTCAGGCGTAAAACCCAAACCAATGATCTTTCCTTGACAGCAGGATCAGTCATTGCTTCAAAATCTCAGGAGAGTGACTATGACTCAGTCGCCAAGAACGTCTTCCAACAGATCAACGAGTACAACAAGAACCTTATAGAGTCATTGCAGAGCAACAGGAGTTAAACATAAATTAGCAATTATACTGGAAAACATTCTAGTTTGCTTAAAGTCTAAATCTATTTTTAAAAAATGCAGATTTTGAAAATTATTTGGAAAGATAGATTTAAATGTTGAAAGTTTTCTGGTCTGATATCAAAGTGTCTCTGTTACCTGTTACAGTTTAGCTGATTTTAGTTGTTGAAATACCTTCTTTTTCAAAACATATGAGTATTTATCTCACTTTTTTGCATTTGAATGTAAAGTGCAATTACTAACTGAATAAATACATTTTTAAGCAAAGTAAATAAAATGTTGAATGTAAAGCTGAAAGTTTTTTGAGGTCAAACTACCATTTTCACAGGTTTGTGATGAATTATACTCACAGTGGTGACACAGACAACATCTCTTAGGACAAGTTATTTGACACTATCAAATCCAAACCACACCAGGCAAAACTACTAAACACTTGAAATATCTGAGGCCAAGTGTGCACTAAAACACACATCATCTTCTGTGGATAAGGCAACATGAGATGAGCGGCTCACCTGCTAACTTTGGTAGGTATCCTTACAAAGTAGTGACCAAGGCAGGAAACATTCACTCTCAGTTTTTTGTATTTATTGCTTTTAATTACAGGAAAAAAAGATCAACATTTTGCATAAAATCCAAATTCCACCCTAGAAATATATTTAACCTTTCCAATAGATAGATATCAAAGAGTACAGTAAACATTATAACTGAGGGTTGCAGCAGAGTGACCCTTTGCAAATGTACAGTACAGCATTTCCCAAAACCATCAAGGTCAACAAAATAACACCTGTTTTTGGTGCATCCTCAGTATTTACACTGTCCTCTACCGTTTCATAGAAGAGTTGGACTCATCCATGTCTGCTCCTGATCACTGGATCTGCAACTCCACAGGAACTTCAGATCCACTTCAAGTGTCCATGTAAGTTAGATCTTTCTGGGAAGCAGTTCAAGATATAAAGATGTCAAAAGGGAGACAGTTTGATCTCACAGCAGTGTGTTTGAGGCTGTGCACATTTACATATAATATCTCAGAAAACGAGCGGATGCATAGATTTCAAATAAACCAAAGCACTGACAGTAGGTTGAGCAGTTATGACAAAGCCACATAAGCAAGCACAGTGCCCACAGAGCAGCCTGATAGACACACACCTCCCTGATCAGGAACAACACAGGTGGACAAAATGATACAGACAACCATGAAATACCACATTAATTAGTAAAAACTTGAATAATCTAAAAAAATAAAGTAGCACATCATTGAAAAGAAACGTCATCCCTCAGACTTGGCAGTAAAATCCGATGGCTTAAACACAACAAAAACAAAACTCTGTGACAAAAAACTTCAGGATAAGACACACTCAGATGCTCATACAATACACACTTCACTTTCAAATAGAATATTCAACAATATCTGTTCAATCAGTTACTCTACATTATAGGAATCACTTATCAAACAGAGCCCTACATTGTTCAATCGAAAATAACCAAATCCATTGCAAAATAAAGAATTCAATAGAACATATGTTAGTATTATATCACCATTTAGACTTGGTCTTAGATTTATTTTCTCCATGTTGGTATTCTATTTCATGTTGCTTAATATAACTTGTTGTTGCCATCATCTTTATGCAACTTGAATTCCCCCTTGCTCCAAAGTAAGAAAGTAGGGAGCCCCTAAAGTCCCAAAAAGGAAGTTTTGTTTTTAAATAGACAGAACATTTTAAAATGTGTGAACAATATAATTATTAAATAATGTTTGTTAAAATTCATAGCTTGTAAAAACAAAATAATTCTATTGTGTGCACTAGATAATGACTTGTTCCTATTAATGATCAATGTGCACAAAATAATCTTGCATGCACAAGACAACTTCTTACCACAAGATAACTTTTGCACACAAAACCATCTTGTACACAGAATATAATTATTAAATCAGCATAAAAAAAACTTGTTCCCAAAAGATATTAGCAAGTGGGCCCAAGATAAGTGGTTTTCAAAGAGTATTGTTCTCACAAGATAATTATCTTATTACAACAAGATAACTTGAGAACACTACACAAGATAGTTATACTATATAAATTAGGTTAAACTAACTGAAAAATTTTACTTTGAAGGGGCTCCAGAAGAGAGATCTTCCAACCTTATCTACACACCTTTGACAGTTAGCTTGTACAAGCTAGAAAGGTAATAGCAGAGAAGTTCTGAAACGATGGGCTGCTGTCAGCACATTACTCCAAATGGCTTCAGTTTTATTTTATCAGTCATAAAAGGCTGCCAATGTTACTTGCTTATAGCTGTTAAGATCTGCGATTATCGATCAACGTTAAAATAAAAAGCAGTCGTTTGAACGCCAGCCAATCAAACTTGTTCGAAGGTAGCTGTAGCCATTAGCTGTATTCTTACTTTGATGCAAAACTAGCCTTATCCGTCGGGTAAACTCGCGTCATAGTCACAGTACACAACGTCGCTGAGCAAAAAAATAAAATAAAATTATAAAAAGCAACGTTAGTTTCTAAGCCTGTGAGCTTAATTTACAGCAGCAAGGAGAAGTTAAAACGTACTTTGGCATTGTTATTACTGAATGTTGCTAACTGGCTAACACCAGCAGCTTGTTTTGCATGTTAGCTCTAATGGGCATTTTAACTGACATCAATAAATACACTTAAGTGACATAAAGATTAAGTTATGAAAAATAAAAACATAAACCTTTCACATTTAAAAGTGGAGCGTCAATAGTTTCTAAATTTATAAGACCGTGTTTTTGTTGAATACTGTACACTTGAAAGCTTCATATCCTCAAATACTGCTATTTATTCTTTATATGTAGGTGTTCAGGCGTTAATAGAGGGATGAACCACTTGTACCAATAGCTGGGGAAAATGTTACTTTTATTTCTCTGTTCAAGTTCATCTAGGACTCAGTCTATATTATGCAAGTTAGCCAGTTAATCCTGTGTTGGAAAATCCATGTTAGCCTTAGATAAATTATTCAACAGTGCTGGATCCACCCTATGCAGAATTGTAACTGTTAAATAACTGGACAAAGCAACAGCTGTAATTTCTGTATTTGTTAGCAAGAAAGAACCCAGTGGTGTGTTCCTTAAGCCTCAGTATACTTCAAACTCAATCTGTTGAAACGCTGTTGTTATCTATCTGGGACCATTTTCACAACTTTGTAAAATGACTCTTCAACCTTACTTGGTCTAGTATGGGCATGTGGTCACCATGGCAAGGCAACAAAAATTACAGTCCTGCTTTAATAACAGTAATAATAAAGCTGCATCCATTGAAAATACTGACAGAAACGTCAAGTGTGAATGACATCAGGATAGCTTTACTATTATTGAAAGTTAACTCAAATATAAATAACACACTTAAATATAATTTCTTACTTCCTAATATTCAGAGTTCTTCAGTTGACATGAACAGTGTTGACTTCCATCAAGCACCACTGCAGTTGCATTACTGAACAAAACAGACATTTCAAAATATAGATGCAAGGAATTGCTGTGATGATTACAGCAAGACAAAACAACCCAACAGGGAAAATATGAGCAAATATGTTGAATGTCTGATCTGAATTTCAAGGCTGAAGGCAGTTCTTCATAAGGGGGAAGTTGTTTGCCCTCCAGAGTTTTATGGTCGAACAGTTCTAGCTCTTTTGAAGCAAGCTGTGGCCTTTAAAGACTTCTTCCAAAGTAATTCAAAATTGAACAACCTCAACTGAAAGCAAAAATTATGTTAATGTCCAAAACCGGCCACATCCATTATCATTGCTTACAGCTTTTCAATACACTTTGACTTTTCCTGGTGTAAAAACTGTATGTTTAGCAAAAAAAGTGGCTTTACACTGAAAACCTGGGCGTTATAAATACTTATCTACAACCATAAAATATCACAGAAGTCTGGAAGGTATGTATGATTTTGCTCTTGGCTTGATGAAAAACTGAACAAACGTTTCTATGTGGTCTACTCAAGTATTCCTCAAGTTACATTTAACATCAGGCTTTAATCATCAGCTATAAAAGGCTGTTTAACACCGTAGATGTTCAAGAATACCAAAAAACAGTCAAGATGCTGGATTTATAGATTATTTTGCTCAAATTGAAATCATAAAGTTAGTTTTCTGGGTCTGTTCTACTTCACATGTGTTCCTGCCTCGCTATAGTGCAAGTTAAACAACTTTAAAAAATAAAAATACAAAACAAAGCAGCAATTACCTTCCATCTAAACATTAAGTGGCAAAAATGCATGAAGGTGTACATTCAAAAACCTTACAGCAAAGTTGAAAAGAAAAACAAACAAAAACCTAAAATCCTCTTTCCTTACGTCACTTTTTTTGAATCTTTGAAAACTGCTGTACAATTCTGTCGGATACTGGAATCCCAAACAGTAATAAATGAAGAAAAAAAGCATAAATACACCTTTCCTTTTTGAGAAATACATCTATAAGAACTTTTCAGGGAGAAATGTCTCCACTTGAATGTAAAAACAAATCCCCCAAATCTCTAAACGTCCTAATAATTAAGTAATAAGTTAAGAATTTCCCACCATCAGTGCAAAAATATCAAAAACAAACTGAAAGGGAGGAAACCGTGAGTCAATTGGACTGTTAGTGCGCACGAGACTGTGAATCATCTCCATGGGAAAAAGGTTTTCTCAGGCACAAGTACTTAGGCTTTGTCCGCTGAGCCCTTGGCAGGTCACTCTCTCTCTTTTTTGAGTCTTTTTCCCCCCCTGAAGGGCACACACACAGCGCCGGGGGAAGAACAGAGAACTATCTGTGAAAAGCAGACCGGATGATGTCCTCTTCAGCCTTTCTTCTTCTTCGTCTTCTTCATTCAGCATTGTCAAGTGCTTCTGAAATGTGGGAGGCTGCATACTTCAACCGGAAGCCACCTGCAATGCAAACATCATCACACAAACCAACCACATACACACATACAGAGATGCAAACACACAGAGATGTGTATGATCAGTGGGTCAGTTGGAAAAACTAGTCCAGACATCACTAGACTGACTGAAAACATCAGGTGTAGAAGTGACACAGAACTTAATATGTTTCTCCTAGAAGTTTTAACATACTCAAAATCTGAGTGTGAAATGAGGGTTTTTATACAGCCATGGCTGTCACTGCTTTGCTGTAACATTTCTAAATGAATTTCAAAATTCAGCTTTCTGTAAGGATTAAGTTAAGTTAAGGTTCCTATGAAATCAAAACTGGCAATTAAACTTCTTCAAATCTTTGTTGTTTAAATTGCCACCTACACATTATCAGCTAGTCCAAAAATGTCACAAAGTTCTGTAGGTAAACTGGATGAATCAAACACTGGTGAAGTGTTGATACTGGAGAAAAATTAACTATCACCATTGTCTAGTGGTACCAGTTAAGACCGACAAATGATGTATACAACCCTAAAGGCTAAAACATACAGGATGCATATATGGAGCGTGGCAGCAGCGCACCGTATCACGCAGCAAATACGCTGCCAATCTGATCAATGCAGCAAAGCATACAGGACGCGTGTCAGCTCTGTTGCAGCATCGTATCAAGAGCAGCACTTCTCAAGATACGCCACGTCTATTTTTTCTGCTCTACGTTTCCAATGCGCATCAATACACACTGAAGATCATTTCAGACAGGAAGTCAAGCACGAAAACCATGCATGTCATCCAGTATTTCAAAATAAAACACCATATGCTAACTCTCAACTGTGTATCAATTAGTGTAGATGAGAAACACTTCCTGGTTACGGATTTATCAGTGACACAGAACAATCCAATCCGAACGCGCTCAATATGGATCCTGTACGTTTTCGGCTTCAGCATCACTAAATAATATGATGCTTTGTTGGGCGGGGCTTAGCTGGGGGCAAACGTCAGCCAACACAAGGTGTGTCTTTGCTTATTTTTAACAATGAAGGAAGATAACACAGGTCTCTCTGAATATGTGAGGCCACCTACTGTTCTGGAAAGGTGCTTAAATAAGTTGTCGTAGTGTTCGCCCGTGTACTCAAAAAGTTAGTCACAAAGAGATTCCCCTAAATGCCCAATTTCTGATTGGGAGGAAATGATAACCCTGTAAAATAAATAATGTCTTACTTTCATAAAAAGTTAATATGTGCTTTATCTATAGATGTTATATTTAAATAAGTCTGTGCTGCAACATGTGAGCATTTTTAATGATCATTTCATCTACTTGCTTTTAAGTTGTCTTCATTTGCCGGCTAGTACACTGTAGTATTTTTGGATTTGTTCAGTTTTTGGACATGACTATCACAAGGTCAAATTTATGCTTTTAAAAGTGTTTATAAATTAAGTGATGAGACTTAAGTGATAATGCTGATCTGAGGTAAGGAAACTAAGGAGTTCTATGTTTAAACCTTTTTCCTACAGCTGCACTACCTTGCTGCGTGGAGTCTATTGAAGGTTGGTTGCAGTCCTGAGCGTAGTGCCCACTCACACCACAGTTGTAACAAGACACATGGCCGTTCTTCTTATTGACTCCTCCTCCCCCTAGCGCAGCGGCAGGCAGCATCCCCAGGGGGTTTGGGTACACATGCTGGTACACACGCTGACAGAACGATGCTGGCGCCATCTGCTGCTGAAGGTTGTAGTTTGCAGCCACGGCTGCAGCCTGGGTGCCCAGCATGTGTGATTGCACATCTGTATGACTGTGGGAGTGGGTGTGGAGGGGGCCGTAGGGTGGAGGGTGTGCAGGAGGTGGAGCAGTAGGGAAGAAGGTGGGCAGGGTGGCAGCTCCGTTGGCCTGGTGAGGCTGGGCCTGGGGGAGGTAATTGCTGCTGCGCAGATTTGTGAGCTGGAACAGGTGCGGTGGGACACTAAACACCTGGTGGGTGGGAAAGAACAGGGGTGCCTGGCAACCAGAGGCACCACTGACACTGTTGTTGTTTGTGCCGCTGCCTCGGCTGCCGCAGTTGTTGTGGCAACCGCAGGTCCCACAGCTTATCGGCTGCTGCTGTTGCTGTTGCGGCTGTTGTTGTGTTGGCTGCTGGGAGGGCAACTGTTGCTGCTGGGTCTGCTGAAGGGTTACAGGGTTGCCGTGAACAACTGAGGCACTTCCGCAGGAAGCGCTGCTGTTGCTGTACGATGTACTGTCGCTGTGTGCTGTGCTGTGGGTAAGCGCTGGGCTTGGGCTGGGGGCAGGTCCAGGGGTATGGGTAGGCACAGCTGGAGGAACAGCTGCCTGTACATGTCCAGGAGATGGTGCTATCCCTGTAGGTGCAGGTGCTCCTACAGCAGGCATAATGGAGGTGGGGACAGGTGGCAGGGTGTAAGGAGAAGGTAGGCCTGATGGTAAGGTTAAACCAGGGTGTTTGGCATGAGTATTCTCCGCATGTGGTAGAGAGGGGGCCAGCCCTGAGCTAGCACTGGCAGGATCTTGGCAGAGCAGAGACTGCTGAGGAGGGGAGGAGAAGGATGTGGGGCCTGGGGACAAGACACTGATGGCCCTAACAGGAGTCTGAGGGGCAGAAGGGCTAGATCCACTCCCCGAAGCTCCATCAGTAACACCTTGACTGTGAGGCAAAACAGTTTTGAACCTCTGAACAAGAGGCTGCACAGCAGGACTTCCTGAAGGGTGGAGGCCCATATGGGGGATCCCATAGGGTGAGCGCATGTCCCTCTTCTCTGGGTCTCCCACAAGTCCAGGAACAGCTGGAGGCACAAGGGGTAGCTGCATCATTAGAGTCCCAGATGAAGGCTTCACGTCAGGAACAATGTTTTGGCTGGGAGGAGGAACCAGTGGAAGTGGAGAGTCCACAGCCCCGTTAGGGAGAACATAGGGCAGAGGATGCATGAAGGAGAGAGGCGGGAAGTCTGCGCTGGTCTCTGGGCAAACTGGCTCCATCTGGGCCTGGTGGGTACCGGAAGACAAAGGGTTGACAGAGGCGACCTCCCCCACCATTGATGGATCAGTCTGGTGGGCAAAGAACATGCCAGGGCCTGGGCCTTTGCTGGAGTCATCAGAGGGGCTGTCAGTGTCTACAGAGACAAGAACATGAAAGCACAGAATCAGTCCAGGTTTCACCAACATTTCTAAGGCAAAATGACGGGTCAGAGTGTGAGCGGGTTTGACCTTTGTTGTTGTCATCCTCACTGTCCATGCTCTCTGGTCCTCTGTGTTGAGGACTGGATGGGGAGCTGTAACTTTCTGATGAGGTTTCACCAAATGTATCTGGACAAGAACCTCCATCTGCAACAACACAGGAGTTAATATTACAGACAAGCCACCATAGAGAATATGAAACATTTTAAATCACCTAACAGTGCATTTTTTTATCCTTTCACTTGACAGAGAAAAGTTTTATGAAGAAAAGGGGCTTTTTTAGGACCTTTTTACAGCTGCAACAGAAAAAAATAAGCTTATGCTGCGTTCCAGTTACTTCAGAAGTCGGATGTTGGAGCTGGGAATGGCGTTACACCAGAGTTGACAGCGTCCCAGTGAACAAGTCAGAAAACCAAGATGGATGCCAACTGCTAGCCGTTGTTAGCTGTTGTTTACAATTGTCAGCAGTTATGTTGGATTATGACATTGTTGTCAAGTCGGGGTTGGTGAAAAACAACTTCAGGGGGGTGTTCCAGATGAATTTCTGACTGGGAACTCGGAAAATCCAACTTCCAAGTACAAATGGAGCACAGTATTATTCTACTGATTTCTACTATCATTCACCCCACAACTGATCCTGTCAACTAAAGACAGAATATTATTCACAGCTGTTTCACTTGATGCAAATGATTCATTTTGAACAAACTAGGTGATTAACACTGAGCACTGCCGATTCAAGCTTTCACACAGGAGACACTTTAATCTGGTACTTTCCTGTTCCACTCACCTTTCCTCTGAGGTGACAGAGCCGGTACCAGCCTGCCATTAGCAACAAAGGCGGCGCCCTTTCCTTTTCCCTTGTCCCTGGAATAAAAAGGAGATAAGGTTAATGAGTGTTCATGAGAGTTTCAAATACCTGACTCAAAAGTTCCCTCATCTTAACTGATTGCTAGAAAGTTTGCACAACACTGCAGTTAAATATGTGGACCCACCTGTCTGTAGGAAGGCCTCTGGTCTTTGATTTGCTGGCTGGGTGGCTCCTCTTCTCAGGGTCCTGGTGCTATAGGAAAGAAAAAAAAAAACAGGACAGAGAGTCAAGCCTGCATGTTTCAACCGAAACCTTAAATGGATCTCTTCATGTTTGACAGAGGATTCCTCTCGGATTTGATGTTTTACAACTTTAGTGTTGTAAAAGGCTCATGCAGCATAAGATGGAGAGTTTCTAATTCAAAGTTCCTACCACAGAGCTGATGAAACAATCTGAACTTTTAACATTCTCAGAAATTATTTAAGACCTATCAGTAAGTCAGTTGTGTGCTTAGAGAGCAGGACATGGTGTGGCAAAAATAAAGGGAGAGTTTGATTTGAAAGCAGAAAACAGATATATGGATCCAGATGATAAGAAACATCATTGTATTATTCAAATGTCACTTATTTATAAATGCATAAAACATATACACGTATTAGGTATAAATTTCAGCCCCCATGTGTATTGCATGAGATGTAGTATTTCATTCAGAATAAGACTCATTAAGTCTTTTCTAAAACCACAGGGTGCAATAAATGTGGCCAAAATCATCTTTTGATACACCATTTCACCTTGCATTGTTGTAATTAACTAAATAAGTTCACAGTCTCAATCCCTCATTTCAAGTCCTCTCCAACACCACATTTTATTTTTAGTAAATTTATGATAAAAGCTGTTGTAAAATCGATATAAGAAGGATGTGTGACCCTCTCATTATAATATAACCACCTCTGGCTCCAAAAAGTCTGTCAGTCCATGAGTAAGCATATAAATACATAATGTCGTGTGTGAATGTCACTGAGCTGTTTGTACTTGTTACATTTACAGTCTTTGTTTAAAATGCATCATTTTTGTGTGTTTGAAATCTGCAGGATAGAAGAAACTCACTCTCCCATTCAACATTCTACTACCAAACTGGACCTATAATTATTATTGGCCCTAATAATTGCCATTTTAAAAACCGAGTGGCATCATCAAGCATCAAAAACAGCCTTTTAAAGAGTGTCCAGCCTGTTCTGTGACTGAGGGAGCGAGCTTTGTGCTTTGTCAGCAGAGTGCCGCCTCTCTCCCACTCACACATACACATGGTCTTGACCTAAATCAGTGAGATTAGCAGTGAGTACTCCCATTCACGTGGCAGCTAGTGACACACACACACACACACACACACGCACGCGCACACTCACACACACACTCACACACTCACTCTGACCCACACACATGCTGCTGCCTCATTCGTAAAAGAAGAACAGCTATTTTAACTCAATCCTGCTGACCTTCATGTAAAATGATTAACTAGTGTTCATGGAGTTGTTCCTCAGCTGTGCTTCAGAGCTTTACAGTTATGTTAATCATTAGACCAACACTGCTAACTATCTGTGCAGCTGTTCATGGAAGAAACATCTTGACCCAGCAGAGCCCCCCAACCCTACTGACCCATGATCCATCAGGGTTTGGGTCTTTTCTTTTTAAGTTCTATTGTTGCATTTGTCTCCCCTATTGCCATTATTTTAAGATTGTTTTAGTTCTTATGAAAAGTGCTTTAAACAGAAAGACTGTTTGACTGATTGATGGACTCAAAAAAATCAAACAGGAGCTGCTTGACTTTTATCTTTGATTTGGAAACATCCTGGCGCCTGACCCCGTTTTCTCCTCACCTGATCAGCCTTTCTCCTCTCGACTGGACCGTTGAGCTCTGAAGTATGACCCCCCCTCCGAGTCTCTCCTTGAGAGCCCTTGGCACTGGAAAGACTGGTAGAGGACAGAAGAGTTATATATGTCCTTCAAATGTTTTATTACAACATTTCAGTTCCATTTCTGAACTAGTCATTTTTGAGACCTGAACTGATTTGTTTATTATACCTTCACTAATAAAACTATCATGACAAGAACTGCTGAGGGATGTTAGCAAACATCTTTCCCTTAATAACCACTATTTACTGTCTTTTTGTTATTAATTGCACGACAGTTTCATATCAAATCCCACACTTTTACTCACCCTTGACATGGACTCTTGGTCCCGTGTTTTTTCTTGTGTCCCTGAACAAAAGACTCCAAATCTGTGAGAATAATTAACAAAATATAGTTAATGAAGCAGTTGGTGTGAAAGCCGACATCAATAACACTGCAAAACAAGACTCATACCATTAAAGTACATTAAAACTCCTAATAAACACAACTACTTTAAAGGCAGGGTCTCCTCTGATAAAGGCAGGTTTAATTTAGATGCCCTCACACTAGTGAATAAGTGCCCAAAAGGGAAAGTAATTGAAGTCCATTAATGTATACCTAATGACTGAAAGGAGGGTCAAGGAGGACTTTACTGCTTGGACAGGCTTTGAGGATGGAATTAAAAGTTAAAATAACAACAAAAATCCAAATTTTAAAGACAAAACAATTAAACCTGTCTCATATTGAATCAGTCGAGTTTGACATTTTTAGACAAAAACTTATAAAGGCCTGGGCTACTATGTGAAGCTTTACAAGAAAGTCCTCTCTGGTATTGTTTATATCATTCTCGTTGTCAAAAGAGACAATAACAGGAAATGGAGAAGTCCAACTTTGACTTGAAACAGAATTATTGTTGCAGCCGCTGCCAGACCTCTTCAATCCAGGCATAAAATCCAAAGTTTCAGATGATGGGCAGGGTATCTCCTCCAGTTTCAAGTCAGAGGCCCTTTCCTAGGGCAGCAGCACTTGGTAATTTGGTCTGTTTTGCACTGTGATCACAGCGTTACACCTCTGTGTGGCGGTGCTGTTTGTATTAGGAGTGTCCTGATAACTTTTTTACCTCAGATACAATACTGATATTGTAGCCTTCAATATTGACCTATACCGATATTGATTTGGTATTGGCACAAACTTTTGCACTCAGCTGCAATGTCTTTTTCAGACTACAATGAAAAATACTGCCGACATCCCACCTACTCGTTGCGACTTTGTTTGTATCGTAGTACACACTGTTGTTGTGATTACATGGGCTCTACATGCTGGATCCGGGTGCTGCTAGATAGAGGTGTTGGAGCGGAGTCTGGAATGGACTGCCTGCATCAGAGTGCTGATGTTTTAGATGCAGGCCGATATACCTGCATATCAGTGTTTTTTTCACTATAGGTGTGGATGTTTAAAACACTTCTGCACTTATGTTCATGTGCAGTTCGCTAAGTCTGTCAGGTGGGTTTCCCCTGCCTCTTTCCCTCTCTCCCTCTCTGCCTCTATACTAGCTCCATCAGAGTATTATACTGTCTGAGTAAATACACATTTCATCAACACTTCTCTAGTATCAGGACATTATAAAACATGTTGTTGAAATATTCACTGTGGCAGAGGGATAGAGGTAAGAGTACATGACACGATATGCCCAAACAGGCTACAACCAGGCCACGCATACAACTTGACATATCAATGACTCTATTCTAGACCTGGGACTGATATTTAAAGACATCAGTCTACAGTGCATCAACAACCAAAACTGCTCTAAAAATACTGATGATTGAGTAAACCTAGTGAACATCTCTCCTTTAATGAGGATCATCAGAATGATAATGTGTGGATGATGATACTCATGATCTTCATGAATGTAAAATCAGGGAACTATGCAGGTAGTGAAAGACATTTATGCAAATGAAATAAGTTTTGCTTTAAAAGTAAAACAACAATAACAGTGCTCAGAATTCAAGAGGCAGACCCACTGACCTCTTTTAACAGAATTTTGTATTCAGCATTTTTGTTTCAAACTGAAAATACAACATCTTAGCTTTATGATGCATTTCAGCTCATCTTGTATTTCTGGAAAGGTTGGCAAACTTATTTAAGAAATGTTTCATCTGCTTGTTGACTTTTGCATAAATCCTTCGACACAATGAAACTTGTAAAAGATTTAGAGCATAACCTCAATCGAGCACAAACAAGATCTGCCAGTGACACAAATTCCAACCCAAGTATGCGGCAGGCCGGGGTTGAGGTTACTGCAGCTCCTGCAGAACTCAGGTCAGCACGTGATCGGGCAAATATAGCCGTGAAATTCGAGGATTCGAAAGAGACTCAGCCTTTCCAGCCCACCTCCAAAAATACATGCTAGTTAACTTTTCATGTTTACTATGAAGCTGCAGCTATGACTGCAGGCCTGGTTAGTGGGCTGCTTCTTCCTACTTTGCCTGTATGTACAAACAGGTCTCATACACTCTTTACACAGTATGCTCCTTTGTATTTCATTTGTCCTTTTGCTGCTTCTCCTCTTCACCTTCTACACCCTACAGGGGAACAACAAACTAGTGCAGTGGAAATGTGTGAAACCATGTTACTTGTTCTCACCTTCCTCCTGGCTGGAGGCATCAGAGCAATCTCCTTGGTAGACCTTCCCAAGCTGGCAGTTACCTGTAAAGAAAACATCATTACCCAGACAAGTCATCACATTTTGGACCAATCTCAGTGACAGTTTGTTACTTCACAAGAATTTATGACACCAGGAGAAAATCTAATGGTATCAATAATGGACTCCTGGGTCATGTGAGATGTCTATGGAAAAACAAATTAGGATTTAAACAATCAAAAACTGCATATTTTATTCACTATTGAAAGATAACCCCTGGAAGAGTGGTTTGATCTGATTTTCTGCTTATCCTTATTACCACATGTCCTGCAAGGTGATTACAACAGCTTAACAACAGTATGAGTTTAAGCAGGCCAATTTACTGCAGTACCCCCCTCTGTGAATGTGTGTGAATGTGTGTGTGTGTGGTGACTGGAGGAGTGGTGTGCCTCTCTGATAGGCCAGCCCCCCCAAAGCAGACAGGAGTTGATTGGCAAACAACCTGGACTAACTGCACCAATCAGAAAGCGGTGCTCCTTTTAAGAAGGCGGCCAGCATCACCTTGAGAGATCAGCTGGACCCTGATCAACTCACCGTCACTTTTGAGTTGTCGCATTTTTGTTTAATTGCTTCTTTTATAATAATTTTCATTTTAATTTGACCAAAAAACAACTTTTTTAATGTTACTTCCTCTTTTCAAGTAACAAACCAGATTGTAACGCACACTGTCATTTGCTAGCCTCTGGCCTCTGGTTAAAAATGAGTGACAACCTTTTTTAACTTTCAATGCTTTTCAATACTACTGCATGTGAAATACAGATGTTTGTTATCATTTTAAAGCATATGTTATTGAAAAGTACCAAACTAGGAAATTTTGACAGCCTTACCCGGTAAAATATTCAAAAGATATACAGACTATTGGAGATTTTCAGGTGTGCTCGGTGTGTTCAGGTGCACAGTTTGTGAGTATGTGGTTGGATCAGTCGAACACATAGACTGTACTATGGACAACTTTGTTCCGCCTTTCGTCATTATACGAATTTGAAGCCGAATTTCTCTCTGTATTTCCGGGATTTTCTCCACTTCTTGGAACCACCACTTGCGGAGTAGCGTTGTATGCATTTGGGAGGCGGGAGAGTCACTGTGATGACGCTCGGCTCAAACAGTGTATCCCACTGGTGAGCTACGCAATCTTCGTACGCCCATAAGCTGTATCGAGTGTCAATCATAGTAATGAATAGTATGAAGTATGAACCCCCTAATAACTTTTAAAAACGGAGCTGTACAGACAAAAGAGGACTTGAGCACAAACCACTCTTACAGTAACTACATGTCAACATCACAACCAGGGGGAAGAATATTTTATATTTTGTGTAATTAATTATTAAAGTTTGTCCACAGCTCCATAGGGATTGCTGGAGGAGGTGGGATTTATGACCTATACTGCAGCCTGTCAACGGAGGGTGCTGTTCTCGCAGTGGCTTCACCCACCTAGGAGGCAGACAATATCCATTCTATATACAGTTGATAGTCGAACATGATCGCTGTTGGCTCTATTCTAAGAAGTCCTTTGCTAGAAGTCAAGATAGGCACCTAGTTTCCTATTCCATTGGGCAAAAAAAGGCACATCAAGGCTTAGTTAAAGGCTCTTGCAGGCTTCAATGGGGTAAAACATTTGACCTGTATTATCCATAAGTCTCTTGTTTACCATGAGTATTTCTAAATACTCTGAAAATCCTCCTTTACGACCTTACTTAAATTTAACTCCGTTATAAGACCACCCCCGAGGAAAACATACAATTCAAAATATTTGCATTTGTATTTGAGTTTTGTTTTGCACTGGATATGGGAGACAGATACGCACAGAAAGCCCTGCAGTGTAGACTCAGAGACATGTTAGCAACACTGGAACCATAATACTTATGAAACTCTCTAATTCAGAGCAGTTTTATATTCTGAACTGCAGAACAATTATAAAAGAATAAAGCTTCTATAAAGTTTAATCCTCTGAGTATTTTGATACAGAAAATTTCTCCCTTTTATCAAATCACCCAGAAAAATGCTTTCATGTTTGACTGGGATGAAACCAGTTTTAAATGTCACTGTGACTCGTTCTGAGACAAGCTTGAATTAGTGATGGCTGGTCTCTGAGGAGGAAAACTGTTTTTATACTTCACTGAATTTTGTTCTTAGTCTGATACTCACATCTGCAGCTGTTGCGTTTGGAAGAATAACTGGAGTCACAATTGAAGAAGCTGCAGACCTTCCTGGTCTGTCTGAAAACTGGAGGAGCCGACAGGAACCTTTCCCTGAAGATGGACAGAGGAGGAGAAGAATGAAAACTTGGATGTGGTGGTTATTTATCCAGAATAAATACAAGTGTGGCACTTGCTGAAAAAAAAAAAAATTCCCAACATTTTATATTTGAATTTCTTAAAAAAAATGTGTGAAATGGTAGAGGTTTCTCAAACGTTTTTCAGCATCTTTCAGTTTAGGTCTGGTATCTCCCTGTCCACACAACTCTCAAAGCACAGGTCTCAGTTTATTCTGACTGTACTGGGGTTATCTTGGATTTAGCTTGATATATTCAGATTACTGTTATTATTTAGATTCAGAATATTGTTGGGATTGGAAACTGACTTTGAGACCAGCACAAAGGGGACTAAAGCCTCTGCACATGGGGCTAAACCAGCATCCAAGGACTTAACTTCATTTCAAGGGTAAAATAAAAACCCTTTCTTTATAGAATCTTTTCCTTTTCTTACAGTATTTTTTCTTCTGTGGCTAAAAGCAAACCCAAATGCTCCTGAACATGCAAATAAGATCTTGATGAAAACAAATGTTTGCACCCATCTGTAGTCTTATTTGGAATGCAAATAAATCCACATACTGTTGTTAAAACAACAAAAGCAAAACCTTAGTTGTTCCAAAGCCAAAAACGATATGAGAGGGGAGGAGAGGGAAAGAGTAAAACAGTGACTGCAGTCCAACCACACTGTGAGCAGAGCAGCCTGAGCTTCTGATGAAATGCTCAAGTGCAGGCATTTAGGTTTCACTTTCCAAAGTTTCATTTCTCCCAAAGAGAAACTGGTGGATGCTGTATATTTGTGCGTGTGTGTGTGCTTGAGTGTTTGTGTGTGTCAGTCTTCTCTGTCTACCACAGCTTTCACAGCTTAAGGGCAGAGATGAAGACAACAGTTTGGAGATAACACCAAGATCTATTTGAAGAGAACAACGATCTAACATCATTAAAACTGAACACAGTGAAATAGAGGTTTGGCGTGTGACTCAGGGCAAAGATGAAACATGGGGGAAGGGGCTTTAACCTTTTGGAAATAACAGGAAATTAGTTTGAGCCGCTGATTTGGTTCACCAACCCAAACAAAACAACAGCAGACAGCTCATGGAGGCTAAAAAAGGAAACTGTGACACCCAAAGTTCCATTGTTGTTTCCACCATACACAAAAACACACTCTTATATGTCCCAGCAGGCACAGCAGCTCTGACATATTACAACATGCATTTGTCTTCAGACTCTTGAAAACCTGATTCTTGTTTTTGACCTCCATCTAGTGTTTCCTTGCAAATCCTTTTTTTAAAATACAGAGTATTTACACTGACAGGGTTTCTTCATACTTTTAAATGACACGTTGGACTACATGGCAGATACATATCCTACGTTTAAAAGCTTGTTTGCATCGCTCTCTTTCTCCATCTCCTTCTCTACCCTCTCTAATCCCAGCTCAGTCTCAGCAGATGACTGTCTAATATGAGTCTGGTTCTGTTCGAGGTTTCTGCATGTTAAAGGAAGTTCTTCCTCTCTGCTGTAACTTGATAAATGCTGCAGTTTTTCACTCGTGGTTGAAGATGGGATGGGAGTGGGTCAGATCTTAAAAGATGAGGCTCAATCTTATCATGTCTTCACACTTGGTCTTTGAAATATCATAAATATTATGGTCTAGACCAGTTTTTTTGTTTATCATCTTGAGATAACACTTGTGAATTCGTGCTATTTAAATACCTCTTAATATTTGTCCCTACCTACTTTCTAGGGGTGAGAATCACGAGTGGCCCCACGGTACGATATTATCACGATATGGTACTTGGGCCACAGTATGATATTATCACGATATGATACTTGGGCCACGGTACGATATTATCACAATATGATACTAAGGCCACAATACCATATTATCACGATATGATACTAAGGCCACAATACAATGTTTTAGGCCATTATACGAGATTATCACGATATGATACTTAGGTCATGATACTATTATATTATTACGATGTTAAAAATTGTGCAAAACATATTGCAATAACATATATTGCGATTTATGCAATTTTTTCCACTGTATAGCTAATTTAGCATTTGTCTTTCCTTTATGCTTGTCTTGTTTACACAGTATTTTATTTTCATGTAGCACATCTTGTAAACCTTATGAGTCAGGTTCAACTCATTTGTGCCCTGCTTGCAATCCTAATGTTTTTCCCCATGTGCTGCCATGTTTGTTGCACTAACTTTCTCCTGCTCTATGATGTCACCTCTGTTTTTATTTTTCCATCATCATAGATTTGACTTGATATTAGCAATTCATTTGAAAAAATCAATACTTCGTAAATGAGATGATACTATAGATCACCAGACAAAATATCGCAATACTATGCTGAATTGATTTTTTCTCCCAACCCTTCTACTTTTATTCTTATACTTTTAATTTGAGCCATATTTCCTTGAATTTGCATGTTCTCATTCTTTCTCTCTTGTGTGATACTGCTATATTTGTCATAAGAACAAGCAAGCCTCTAAAAAAACTGTATCTGATTTAGCTCCATCTACACATAGTTGTCTTACACACTGAACCACTGTGAAGACCAGTGGTGTCTTCATAGTAAAAATCATGCAGCTCAGACAAAAAAAATGTTTTCCACATTGATACATGCAGGAACAGATCCTGAAAAAATATTTCTTGGAAAGGACGGGGACGTTGACCTTTTGTGCTTAAAGGACTGGAAATAACAGGACGAAGTGACCGCAGTGGGGGCAGTGGTTTTTACTTAGACAGGGCTCAAGTTTTCAGTGTTTTCATATGATTTTTTTAACATGATGCCAGAAAGCTTCAAAAAACACAAATTTTCCCAGGCTTATTCTTTTTTTGGTCTCAAATGAATTTAAATCATAATAGAGGAATTTAGCCATCAAATATTTCATAAAAAGTGATCATTAGATAACAATAAAATATCTTGTGAGCTACCACCCATTAGTCTAAAGTTACACATGCAAGAGTATGTTTTTTACTTTGTTTTTACAACCCCAATTTTAAAGGAGTAAAGATCCTATATCAAATGTTGAATAACAGAATTTGATGGTTTGCAAATCATTTCAACAGAAATGAAATAAAATATCTTGATATAAATCTTGCAAGTTGGTTCTAACGTACCTGAGGTTCTTCTCCACCTCTCTGCTCTCTTTCTGGTCCCCCTGGTTAAGAAGCCTCAGGATGCTCTTCTCAAAAGACTCAGTGCACTGATTCTTGGGAAGCTAAAAAATAAAAAAAAACATACATCCTAGATGTAAACAACAGGCAAGATGCACTGAGAAAAGGGTCGGCCAAATAAAGCCATAATCACCCATCTGAACAGCATAGGAAAAGAGCTTAAACTGTAGTTATTTGTGTGTAAATCTGGTATCAAACGCAATTCAGCGCAAGTGTTTTTGAAGCTTCAGCCAACAATCTGTCAGCTTATCTAGTCTTACTCCAAGAAAATGTCTTGGAGACTTAAACCAATCACTCCGTAATCTGAGTTTGTTGTTGGATCTCGTGAAATCCCCAGTACGCTACATCTCAAATTACTCTTGTGTGGCTGGATTATCCAAACATCGCATTATGAAGGAGGGAAAAAGCTTAGAAAGCCTCAAGGCATGGCACTATTTCGTCTTATGTGATTCTCCACTGTATGAAAAAATCATAATGCCCAGGCATACTTTCTTCTATTGCTATGACATTTCCTGTGTTGACAGTCAAACCACACTTTGACAGTCCGATACAAAAAAAATCTGGACCAAAATGTCATAGAAGGCTGTGACAGATTGTCAGTGAACCAGCATGAACTTTGCCAGGGCTAAATCAGCAAAAGCTTTTCGTGGATTAAATATAAAACACTTTGGATTTTGTAAAAATACAGCTGCAGTATAAATCCTGAATTGAAGTCCAGACAGGCTCATAGTTCCTCACTGCATTGATGTATTTATCGATCCAAAAAATGCAGGTACCTTGAGAAGGAAATTCTCCAGCTCGAGATGGGTTTTGGTCACGTTGCTGGATGACGAGTCTGACCACTTCACCTGAAAAACAACAGAGTGCATTTCCCATCACTGCACAAAGTACAAATACAAGCATCACTGCAACATTGTTGATTAAGGATGTGGTTCATGTTTAATGGTAATGTGACACACTAAGGTACTGTGAGGAGTTTTCATGTCGTGATGATTCATTCTTTTGATAATAAAAGGACTGCTTTCTTTTCCCATGAGCACCATCGCCCAGTGTCATAACAATGTTTGCACTGTGGCAACAAATAAAAACAATACAGATCTTTATTTTAAATTATCTTAATTTTCTAAGACAACTTCTTGCAAGGATGCAGAGTGATAAGGTGTTGGTTTGTGGTTACTTGTACTACAGTGCACTATACTACAGTATATACTATACTGCAGATATCTACAGTATATATTTTTTATAACTTCATAAAAAATGTTAAAATCAGCTGATTAATCGGTAATCCAATTTTTCCCCCCAATAATAATTGGTATCGGCATCAGCCCCAAAAAATCCATATCGGTCGGGCCCTAACATGTACATCAACTGTAACGTAATAGTAATTAAAGTTTGTGTATTACCATATTACCACCAGCATTTAAAAGGTGGAAAAACACCAGATGTGTGCTCCAGAGTCCCAATAAATGTTAGAGTGTCTGTATGTGTACGTACGTATTTATATGATAAATATAGAGAGATATAGATATAGATATAGAAATATGATCACCGTTATACTCTTTTGCAGAGCAGCATTAATTGATACACCAGCAAAAATATTAAAGCCTGATAATTACCATTGTGCTCTTTCACCTGGCTTCTCTGTCCTAATCAGTGCTTTGACAAAAAACAACCTTTTTTTTACTAATCCTGCTTATCATAAGCAATGAGAACAAAACATTGCAGGGCTCGACAGTGCGACCATTTCACTCGCATTTGCAACTGAAAATAGCTGAAAAAATTAGCTGAGGCAACAAATGTTTTTTCATGTAAATAGCACGGTGAAGTTAGTTTTAGGTTGGATATTTGAGAGACATTCACTGTGGATCTACCAGTGTCTTCTACCAGTTGATGTTCTCAGAAAAGGCTGTTGTCCTTCCATGTCATGTGACCAAAAGACCTAAAATTGATTTCAAGTAATAGTACTTATGTCAACCAATAAGACAAACATTATTTGATCAATTTTCATTGTGCCCTTAAAGTTCTTTGTGTGCTACTTACTTTTTCAACTTAGGAGCACATGTGCTCCTTGTGAAAAAAGTTAGTGTCAAGCCCTGCATTGTGCAAAAAATGAAATTAAACTGCCCCTGCTTGTTCCCTTTCTTCCTACTGCCAAACTTCACCGGTAGAGTGCTAAGCATAGTCTCTTCTGGGTGGGTGATGCACATTGACTCAGCCTCTTTTTGGAGAAAATCTGACCTGAACACAGGCACTACAGTTCATGTTAGAAGGATAACTGACTGATGATCTCATTTCAAAATATGGATTATGAAAAAGTGTCAGTATCAGAGTGATCTTATTTCAAAATCAGTTAAAAACTCCTCATAGGAGCCCTTGAAAAAACACAAACATATACTAATGTACACTGTGACCTTTCATTTAATAATTGATTCGGAAAGAGTCACTGTTCTATGCACAATAACATAAAAAAACAGGTAAAAAAAAACCTTCACACAGACACACAAAGCTTTTTATCTCCCTCTATAATTGTACAACAACAGATCTGACATATACAATTCCTAAGGATTGTAGAGGTATATCTTTAAAACTTGTACTTTACATTCCAGTCTTTGTATCTTTTTAAAAAAAATCCTCCTTCCTGGAAAAATCTAAAAGAAGTCAAAAGAAAAACAAAGGACATGTAGGTAGAGGCTGTAAAGCGGCCAATACCAACATACCTTCCTGCTAAGACACGGGGATGTTGTATCTTTTCTGAGCTGTGTGAGCTCACCACTTACTCATGACTGTGCGTAACCGCACGAGCCTCAGGAAAGCACATTAATAAAGGGCAGTGTTATTCAGAGTCGGTTGTTCACAGTAAGGAAACATAAAACAGAAATTTGTTTACATTAAAATTGATCTGATGCTAACGGCTTTTAACTGCTTTATATTAAAAAAGGTCTGTTTGACAAATGTATACATTATACATTATACATTAAAAGTGTTGGTTATCACTTTTGCTGGATGTAATCATTCACTTCTTCTCAGTAAGAATCTTTTTACACAGTCTAATAGTTCTCATGAAAGAAGGCTATCAACTTGAGCTGCACAATGAGAATTAAATGTCTTTTATGGCGGTGCAGTATGTTTTAGTATGTGCGTCCTCAGTGTCTTTGCGTGTGAGCATCAGTGGTTTGGTCCAGTAGAAACAGATGGAGGGTGAGAACAGCTCACTGTTGTGGACGCTCCTGGCCTGAATGTGAAGGCTCAGTCAGGCCAACGGGGGCTGTTCGCCTCTCTCCTCCATCTGTCTGAATCGAATTTTATTTTCTGTAAATGAGAACTAAATATTCCGATTTGTTACTGCGAATCCCATGTTTGGGAAACATTCACTTCTGAAAAGACGAGCTCATCGGCACTGATACGCTTCCATCCGCTTAGCACCACACTGAGTCACTATGAGATAGACGCCAGGGATTAGTGAGCGCAAATGCCAGCTAGTGCGGGGAAAAAAAAAGGAAAACAAAGACATTTGCCTAAGATGCACATAAAGCAGAGAGCCCACCCACTAACAGCACCGGTAAATACGTTTTAACTGTACATACCTTATTTATTTTCTAATTACCTGCTGAACAATTACGGAAATCCATCTATATTATTGTTTTATCACCAGGCTACTCCTGTAACAAGCTACAATGAGGCTGTTTTTAAAATTGATCAAAGGCAGAGCTATAAGCAAGCATGCAGAGAAGTGTTTAGCAGCTTTATGTAGTTTAAGGTAAGTGCATGTGTGTTGATTCTGTGTGTATGCAGTGTCTAGCAGGCGCACCTTAGGAAACAGCAGACGCAAATACAGTGTTTACAGTCATACTAATCTTGTTATTTCATCAACACAGAGCATTATGTAAGGGATAATGTAGTTCGCCGGAGGTAATGCGAAGTAGGTTAGGCGAGACAAGACCTCAAGCCCTGAAAAGCCAACTCTACATTGACCTGCATAAAACTGGTTATCACCTAATTATACAAAAAAACTGACACCAAGTTTGGATTCAGAGATGATTTCACAGATTTTAGAATAAGTAATTTACATCTTCATAAAGATGGTGGTAAACCCTCTGAGGTAACAGTTTTCTAATAAGCTTTATTTGGGTTTGACTGATTATCTGATTGTTGCCAGTGGCCCTGATGAAGACCTGAGTACATTGCAATGCATTAGCTATTTTTTTTTAAAGACAATTTTTATGTAAAATAAAGGCATTTTAATCATATACCATCACTACAATATGCCTTAAACTGTTAACTGTAGAAAAAATGGTCATTGTAGTTTTTTTTCTTTGACCAACTCAACAATCCCCTTCCCTGGAAAAATCCCAATACTGCCCTTTTTCTGTTTGTGTTCTTCAAAGATGTAGAAAAAAAAAATTATAGCAGCACCTGAATAAGGTCCTTCTTCATGAAAATTTCAGAGTCTGTTGGCATATTCTGCTCCCTTAACCCATCTTATGACACGGACAAAGCAGTGTGTTGAGGTTTATTGGTATTATTTGTTTGCTTTCTTCACTTTGGTGGATGCCCCTCTAGGTTTAGCTCATTTTCTGCATCTTTTTGACCTTGTCATTTTCTTTTTTCTACTTCAGTCAAGCCTTATTCATCAATCTAAAGTTTTCTGCTTTCTGAGAGTAATACTGAAAATGTCCTCTATGTTGTTCATGTGTGTTTGAAGTTTGTGTGTGTATTTAGTGTGTCACCTACCTCAAAGTTGTACTCCTTGTCTACTCTAGTCCGGGAGATGCCCCTGAGCACAATCCCCTCTATATGTACAGCTGCAACAACAAAAACCAGGAACAAAAAATCTATTATGAAACAATTCATTAGAAGCACTGCAGCTGTTGGAATTAAGCAAACATACACTTCCATGATCTATACTATTACTCAGGCTTCACAGAAACAATTATAAATCAGGACTTTCACAGCAAAAGGAAAAAATCTTTTGTATTATCTTCAAAGAAAAATTTATAGTTTGGCATTAGCCAGTTAGTTATGAAATGTCTTTATTATAGAACAAAAAATAGGAGTCAACCTGCTAATAAGTTTTTATAATTCAAGATTGTGTGATGTGAATGATCATGAATGAATCAATAAAATGAAATGCGTGCTGTCCTTCAGTTTACCTTCTCTTTGTGTTGCCCAACGGCTGGACCGTCGGCTCTGGCAGGGAGGATGAGAGGCCGTACATTCCCCCAATCCCAACACTGGAGACGGCAGATAATCCACCTTCTGATTCAGGATCTCCTGAAAACAAAAACACACAATGTTGAAAACTGTAGCCTTCAATTACAACTTAAATATAAGGTGTGATATATATGTATCTAATCAAAAAGCACCCTTCCATTATATAGTGTGCCTTTATTATGAAAAGGTGTCAGTCCAGATTTATCTAAGTACAAAAATGGAGTCAAAATGCACAACTTAAATGCTTTGCAGAACCAGGATAATGATACAATTCCCATAAGGAAATGTCTATTTCACTTTGTTTTATCTTAAAGCATTTTTTTAAAAGCAGTTTTAAGAAATTTAAAAAAAGTAATAGGGGTATCAAAACTTAAGTAAAGCTAAAGGCAGTTGCTCAGTCACATCTAATACTGTCACATTCATGAAGGGATCCCTACTGCAGGAGCTGAAGGTACACTGTGTCCCTATATGACAGAGTTTATTATATCTTTACCTGGGAATGTTAAATAGCCCAAACCAGAACACATAACATGCAAAACTGACAACAGCTGAGCGTATAAATATAAGTTGCGGTATTTAAAAAAGGCAACTTAAGCATAACTGCCTGCTTATCAGCAGGTTTTACATACACACAGTGTTACACGAAAAAACCCCAGGAACTATTTTGGATCATCATCTCACCCACTGTCCCCTCTCCCTCTGTCTTTGACCACATTTGAATCAGCCCAGAGACTAAAAATGGCATGAGTGATTCTATTAAGAGCAGTGCATCTTTCACAGGACAGGCCTTGACTCACACTGATGTCATATTTCCCTCTGATAGGTCAGCACTAAACTGAACAGATGAGAGTATTGAACCAAGCCAGGATTTTAGCACTTACCCATTTTCCCTTAACTGTTAAAGTGAAAGCTAATCAATATTATCCTCCATATTAAGTGACACACAGTATATGTTAGTCAGACAGATGAAAGCTGAGATTACCTTGTAGTAAAATTGAACCCTGGCAGGAAGGGTTTTTTTCATGTGTGCTAGTGGGGAGCCCTGACACTTGAGAGCTGGTCTGACATTCCTATCATGACTGGATTTAAGTTTAGGGTTACATTTGGTGTGTAATTTTTCTAACTCTGTGTACAAATATTGTGAGTAATCTCTTATAGGCTAGTTTGTTATTCACATTTCTTGGGGATACCCTGGGCTGTCTTTGATCAGGGGCCACTCCTAACTACCGCAGTGACTTGGTGTTCGGTATTTTTAACCTGACATTCAACACAGTAGAAGCTCTCATCTGATTGTTAGCCTTGAACTGGTCAGAGATCTGTAAAAACTTCAGGAAGCGTATTGCATTCACTTACAAAAAAAGAAAAAAGAAAACTGTTTTTTGGAGTAATTTTATTTTATTTTTGGCTGTATTTCCTGACTATTTTTTCGATCTATTTTTGTACTAATATTTTCCCCCCCTTTCTGTTTTTCGTACTATTTTTTTCCTCTTTCTGTTTCTCAGACTATTTTTTTCCTAACTAAGTGAGATACTTCAAAATCCTGCAAGAATTTCATACAATCAGATCTCTTTAACCACCGCAGCTGCTCCAAATCAGCAAAATCTCCAGCTCCGAGATAACTTCAACTACAGGGTCAATGACAGTAAAGCATGTTATTAGTTTGACAAAGGGTATGCAAATCCTAAGGTGCCTGCACAAAGTTGACAAACCTATAACAATTCCATCTATCTGACTTTAAGAAAGGAGTATCTCCCAGTGTCTCAAACCCAAACGAGAGTAAAAATTCAATGAAACTAAACAAGTGGGACATGTTTGCTTCAAACAAATCGAGTAGAGGGGGATGAAAGCGTTTTTTTTTTTTTTAATGATCATGATCCCAGAGAATAGGAAAAACAATTAGTCTGGTAAAACAAAACAGAACAAAACAAAAAATAGTCAGTTGGAAAACAGAAAAGAAAAAAAGTTACTCTGAAAAACTGCTTTTTTTTGGTGAATTCTATAAAAACCAGTTGGGTCACCTGTGTGAATAAGATTGAATTAGATATCCTAAAACTGTGCTAAATCTTTGGCCTCCATGGAAAATTGTTGATGACTCAAAGAGGAATACAAAGGCTGACTGGTGGACCCAAGAATAAATTTGGTGCCTGAGTGTTGAGGAACACTGAGTACAGCTGGAAATTCCCCCCCAAACAGCAACCATCAGCTGTTTATCACGATACCAACAACCTTCAAGAGGGTTCCTCAAATGGCTAATTTTTCATTTGCTGATTACAAAATAGCCTGAACTGTGTATCCTGGTGTGAATTTGTTTGCTTGTTTTGAAGGTGTCTCCAGTTCGGTTCCCATTCAGCTTCATTCATTCGCTCCACCCCAGCTCAAATGTTTGCAAACCAAAAATCAAAGGCAGGACCACTCCTGATCTGTACACAGTCCTTCTCACACATAAGCTGTGCTTCACAGGCAGGTCGGCATATCATCATGTTTGTTCTGTATGGGGTCAAATTAACAATAATAATAATAACAGTGTAAAAAGGAGACAACAGCTTACCCGTACAATCTTAGTCATTATTTTAACAATAACCTCGGAAACTATTATAAGTACTGTTTTTGCTAAAAGAAACTGAAAGTAATGTGGGATGGGCATTTCAGTGAAAATACCCCCAGAGATAATCACTGATATGACAATCATCTGAATAGTTGTGATCATAGACTGTCTATGGTTGTGATGCAGATGGATGGAGACAGAGAAAGACTCATGACTGTAGATATGCTAGTTAGACGGCTATGGTCGAGATGGGCGTGTTAAATCCGGATAAAGAAGTTTCACACAAAACTGTATGTGGTTACAGAGGTCTCTGCAGCTTTCCTCATTTCTAAGTCTCACAGTGCCACACCTATTTAACTGGTGGCTGAAACTTATGCTTTCGTTTTGTTTTGTTTCTAAACAGCTTCTTCGTATGCTACAGATGCTGTCTGGCGCTGGTATTGCATTACAACTAATAACAGTTTTATCCTAACCCTACCCTAAAGGTAACAGGTGCTGAAGCTTCTCTCAAAATTACTGATCATCAATGCATACCTCATCAAATAAAAACATGTGGTCTGTTTGGAGTTAAAATGATTAAATAGCTTAGCTAAATTCTGGGTACAGTATTACCAGCAGAGGTTAACCGATTACAGTTTCTCAGTAGCCGATACCAGTTTTAATAGAGCAGGTCAGCTGATGGCCGATGTATAACGCAGCTACCGCATTGTGAAGTTTTTTTTGTTGATTTCTTTAAACTTTGAATTGGACAAAATATAACTATTTTATAGTACTAATTAGAAGGGAAAAAAAGCTAAAATTTTGTGAATATTTAATCCAAATGTACTACACATAGGGCTGATGCTGATATGATGCAGATTATGTCAAAACTCAATTCATCTGCGCCATTAATCAGTCTATCTTTGCAATAAAGTCTGATGTTTCATCCTTTGGATAATCTCAACATTAACTCAATATTGTTCAGAGTTTGGCTCCTTACGTGGATTAATACAGTAACCTTGCAGTATCTAGCAGGTTAAGTTCTGAAATTACTTTCACACCAAATTAAGAATTGAAAAAAATATAAACTGTTGCCAGTACCAAACCACACAAGATACAATCCAGTCATTAAATAGAACTAGAGCGAAAGACTAAAAAGAGGTATCTTACAGAAGCCCTAAGTAGACGTAAAATCTACATTTTTATTTGCCCTATTTCACCATAATAACAGGCTGATCTTATCTCTTTAAAATCAAGATCTCAACTTTTTTATCTGGTTACCTGAAAGCTCTTAATGCATTTACTGGTTTTGGTTCTCACTTTGGACAAAGCAGTATCTCTTACATCTTTGCTGGTCTGTCCTCTACTTGTGTAACTAGTGTTTTCTGACAAAAACTGTCAATATGCTTTCTTATAGCAGTCACCTTCTACCACCTTGCAGAAATATAAGAAAAGTCAATGGTCAACAGCTGCATTTAATCATCAGAGACTAATTACAACAGCTGATAATAATAAGTGATAAACTGGACCATAATGATTACATGTAGATTCTGGATCAGCATGCTGGCTAAACAAGCTGGTGATTATAGTATTACTTATTCTACTTTGAAGAAAATTTCACTTTGTGTAGTTGGTCAGAGTCTGAAAAGTGTCTGCTCTCATCCAGACTTATTCTTCATAAAGTTAAGGTGTATGTGTCAGGCAAAGGTAACAAATTTAAGTTTTTTACAGTTGATTAAAGTAGCCGAACTCTACCGGTTATATTAGACAGATGCTACCTACACTCTTATCATAAATGAACTTTTATACATAGAAAAGGTAATAGTTGAAAATGGATCTATTCATCAGTTTGCATAAAAGCATGCAGATGTTTTAAACAGACACTGGATAAACTTGATCTGATGTCATAAATGTGTTATCATTTACGATAATGTTGAAGTTGCTGTCTGCAGCAACATTAAAGCTGCCTGAAGGATCTGCTGACATAACTGGATCATTTTATTTATTGACCTCACAAGCCAATGATGCCAACTATTTAAAGATGCCATTGGTCAGGCTGGCCAAACTGAATCATCACACTTATGTTCATTACAAACAAATAAGCCTTAAACAAATGTTTCAAGCATGCATTTAAAAAGTAAAAAAGGGAGGAAGAATTAAATCATCTTAGCTTTGTTATCTAAGGATTTGAAAATAGATGATTACAATTACAGGTCCTTACACACTGGGGCCGACACGAATATAGTACGCCAAATTACGAAATATTCGGAGGGGGAAAAGACGCATTGCGGGGAAGACTTTTCCTGGGGAAAGTCCTTTGCCTCTGATTGGCTAAAAAAGCTGGAAATCGTCATCACAAGCTCAAGCTTAATGGTCAGCACTTAAGGCCAATCAGAGGTGATAAGCACATGAAACATTGCAGGACATGAAAACGTTGATGATGTGAACGCTTGTACTGACAGGATACGGGTTCGCAAAAAAATGTTGACGTCCGAAATAATCGCACGAAAAAAAACGGTCCTGGTGTGAAAGGACCTTAAGGTCATGTTCACACCTAAAGGTCCATTTCCTGATTCGAATCCAAGGCAAGACGATACATTTGTTTTGATTGTTTAAGTGGTCCGGTTTGCCTACCACGATGCATTTTCTCTCTGGTGTCAATCGGGACAGGTGAAGTGAGCGAACAACATTTATTTTACAATCAGCATTACAAATAGCCTAGCCTAGGTGCATTCCTGTGATTGGTGTGGATGACATTCACACCAGAAGTGAACCGCTCCAGAGTTCACTTGATAGCGGTCCAAGACCACCTCTTTAGGCGGACCAGAGTTTCTTTATTTCGTCCTCACCAGAGTTCGAGGTCAGCGTTCACACCGACCCAAACAAATCGCACCAAGGATGGTGTGAACACGCCCTAAGATTACTTTAAGTACAGTGAGTATTTTTGGTGATGTAACTTTGTTTTGAACAGTTGAGACAGCCTACTTGCAGTATTTGGTGGACTGATTCTCATTTCACACACCTCTCTTATGTATCTGTTATTTTTCCAAATGAGTAGACTATCATCACAACAACAACGTGACATCTTTGTATCACAATAAACTACCAAAGGCCTGTAGAGCGGCTTTTTAAACTGCTCATTTCAACACAAGTCCCGCCTCTTAAGCTACATACAACCAATCACAGTTTAGAATTTTGGGGTGGCACCTGCGAAGGCCAATCAGATTTCAAGAAGGGTCTACGGCACCCCTGGCCATCCCACAGGACACACCTCTGATTATATTTACATGTTTTCTACTTCCATTGACTAAAATAAAACTCAAGCTAACTTTGGTTTAGAATTGAATCCCTTTCTGTACCCCTAGAGTTTCAGGGAACACAAGTTTAAGGGTATCATAGCAGCGAAATAGAAAGATTACCGTTGTCTGGGCGTTTATTCTAAGCTGATTCTGCCGTCTCTCCTCGGCTATAGCTAGTTCTATCTTGTCCAGATGCTCTCGGACCCGTTCCCGTTGGTGGAAATGGAAAGCGGGGTGTAGAGAGGCCATGGTGAACAGCAGCGCCAACTGCTCCAGAGGTCCTGCCGCTGAGTCGGTGTTAGAGAAGCCGCAGGTCTGCTCTGAGCGTCCGTACACATCCCCGTCCTGACTCGGTGCGTGGAAAGAGTGGTGGTGGTGAGGGTCCCTGAACGGAGGGAGGGAGTAGTCATAGGTTTTGAAGAACAAGCCCGGGTCAACATGGTTCAGTATCCGAAAGAGTATTCCAGCACATTCCCTGCTGTCAGACCCGAGGAGGGAAAGGCAGACGAGCAGTTTGGACCTGACCACAGGATCAATCACGTCCGTTAAAACTCCCAAATCATTCGGACTGTTCGCCCGGAACTCAAAGTCCCTTAAAACGTGATAGTCTTTCCGAGCGAGATCCTCGAGGTAAGATCCCAGAAAGCGAAGCTCCAGGGGTTGGCACATATGAAGCAGCCCGCACATAAACTCGATCCTCTTAGCAGGGTTCAGATGTAGGCCGAACCACTCGAATACAGTCTCCTTGTCCAGCTTGGATGGATGCACACAAGATCTGGGCGACTCCTCTAGTCCGTCGGACCCCGGTGAGAGAGGCACAGCCCTGGGAATATGTCGCTGCTCAGACGGATCCAATGAACCGTCCTCGGCCGTTTCCTCGCCTCCTTCCTCGCCCGTTTTCATCGGTAGCTTCATTTTCAGCATTATCAGCGCTGTGATAAAGGCCTCAAAGTGTAAACAACGAGTTCCTATACATTATCGACAACTTACACCACTTCTCGATGCTGAATCTTGAGGTGAATAGTCGGCCGTTTTACAGTGTTTTTACTATTAGCTAATCATCTGACGAGGCGATAGTACTAGAGTTTTTTTCCTGAGCTACTTTCTTCTTCTGCGCTTCATTTCCGGCAGAGTCGTAACGCACAATTGGCACACTGCTTCCTCCACGCGGCCGATACCAGAATTGCAAAACGCCGGGGTTCGATGTTTAACCGTCCTCCTGTGTTAGGGACTAAATGCTTAAAAGAACCACTTGAATTATTATTTTTTTTTTTTGCATCAAGACTTTTTGACTTTGTCAGGAACCTCCATTTAAACAAAATTAAAAATTAAAAAACAAATTGACCAAAGTATAAATTGCTCTTCTTAAAATTATGGCACTTGTCGTGTAAGGGTTGCCGTTGACTGGGTTAGATTAATATCTAATAATTGGAGCAAAAACTGAAATCATTTGTGCACTGTCAGGCACCACACTGACAGTCAGATCCTCCTCCAATCATGTGAAATTTAGGAAATTCTCATTTGCCATGTTTTTACCTGCACAAAAAAACAACATCGGGCATGTCCAGACATATGTCCAGTCGCTTCTTTTAAGTCAAATTTAAAAACTCACTTTTACAGACTTGCTTTCACGTGATGCCGTCTTTTATCTTTTATCTCTGTCTTTTATCTGTCATCTCTTATCTCTTTTACCTCTGTCTTATTTCGGCTTTACCGTCTTTTTAGCTTCTGTTATACTTGTACTCTTTCCTTAATTAAACTTTTAGGCCTTTAATTGTTTCATCTCTTGCTCATTTCTATTGCTCTTTTTTATCATTACTTTTTTTATCAGGATTACCTGTTATCATTTTATTATCATTGTTGATATTGCCTTTTATATTTGCTATCCTGTTTCCGCTTTCTTCCTCCCTTTTAATTGCATTTTCCTTTTTTTCTGAACTATTTTATGTTTTTATTTTGGTCCTCATGGTCTCATTTTACATTGCATGGTTCTTGTATTGTCTGGATTCCTTATGACATGAAAATGGCCTTCAATTCCCTTTCTACTGAGCTTTTTTATTTTATTTGTCTTTTTTCCATGTGCTCTACGACTACATGCCAAAGTACTTTGTAAACGTCTGTTTTTTTGAAAGTACTATACAAATAAAGTTATTATTATTATTCTTATGAGATCATTTTAGTATAGATGTCTGTCTGATGGGTATACTGACAAAGAAACACGCAGAGGCTCACTACAAAAACTATTATAAGCAATATTTTCATGAATAATGAAGCCTAACAAGGTAACCTAGAGACGAGAACCAAATTGGATGATAGAGAATTGTTTTTAATGTAATTCACAGCTGATTTAAGACATGGGTCGAAACCGACCCTTAACATGGTGGGTGCGTAGTAAAAGCTAACACAGGAGAAAGGTTAAATAAAACTGTTATGAGAATATTGCTTGACAAATTTAATGAATGTAATGAATTAAACAATTATTTTGGGATGGCTATATTTTAATTGTCTGTTCAGTTGTACTGATAACATTGCTAAAGTATTACAGTGAGGCTCTGAGTCCGCCTATGATGAAATTTTCCTTATATTTCCAAACATTTTTGACAACGTATCTTTTCTTTCTTTTCTGTTTCAAGTGTTTCACAGAAAAAAATGAACCAAGAACAGTTGTTTTGGCATAAATCAGCAGTCTCTCTCAGGGAGTTGTTAAAATCTATACCACAATGTCACTCAGAGGGAAATTCCAGCATAAAATTAATTTAAATCAAACACACTGTAACACTGAATGTTGCCAACCACTTGCTTCTCTAGTCATACCAACTTTCTCAGTGGACTGATTGCATTTTTTCATGGAAATGCATTCAGACCGAGACGCTAAGACAGAAGAACTACCACGTCTGCAGTGCAAAAGGATTAATATGGTGATTATTACTTCAAGGAAATGATAAAGAAATGATCATAAATGTTCTTCCTTGAGCTGCGTCACCCCGCAGCAGTCCCTAATGGACTGGCCTGATGGCTCGCTACAAACAAGCGGCTGCTGGAAGAGAGTAGGTGAGTTGCGTTTAGTCTCTTTGCTAAAGAAATTAGATAAAGTTTAAAAGATGTTTGGTGGCTGGTACTATGGCTGGGATCCTATATGTACTGTTGATGAAGTTAGGTGCTGTTCTGAGCAATATTTGTGGCTATAGAGTTGTGTTTTGGTTGAGGTTTGTGCGTGTCTCCTGAGACAGCTGTGTATTGCTATTGTGCGGTCATTACTAAAATTAGTGTAACTAGAGAAGCAAGCAGTCTGCAACATTCATCCCTCAAGGGGGTGTCTGACTCAGTGTTACGGTATGTTTGACCCTAAATTAATTTTTCGCCAGAATATCCCTTTAATCTGAGTAGGTATCTTGAATAGGTAGGCAGGGTTAACGTTTTTCAGACATTTTTAATAACAATAACTTAAATATTCCACTGAAACCCATTTATCAATTAAACCATTTCAATTACAGAAAGACTATGGATAAGACAGATTTTGTGAAGTTAATGTACCCTTATGATTCAGTCACTCAATCACACACAACAAGCCACACATGATAGTGCCATGGTTTGAACCTATCACCTCTGTTAAAGTTTTTATATTTTTTTAAAATCAAAACATGGTTAAAAAAAACTGTAACGAGGCTAAAATCCAAGTTTTTAATGGTACAATAATGCTCTCTACAGGATAAAAATGGCATTACAGAAAAGTAGAAACAAAAGTGGCAGAGGCCTATGAAGTTATGTCACTTAGTGAATTGAGTTGCTGCAATGTATGCTTAGTCTGGATCTAAACAACTATTCCTGTTCCTGTTATTCCTGTGCACAATTTCTACATCTACCCGTAACAGGAGGCCAGACAAATAGTAAAAAAATATTGAATCCAGGGTGCAGAGCCTGGATCTTTTGTGCCCCCACTTTCTGAGACTGTGCTTTGTGTTGCGGACTAATCTTTGAAAACCAACTCTTTTACCTGTAAAGTCACGCTTTTATAGAGTATACAGATAGTGACGCTTAGGCTGTACTAATGTATTCAATGTGTAGAAAGCACTGAGGGTAAAGCCTAGAAGTTCCACCCTTTACTGTGTTCTTGAAATACATGTGTACAGTAAAATCATCTCAGGCGATCTGCTGCATGAAAAAGGAAAAAAAAAAAAAAGGACATGTTCCTTTTCTCACAAACTGATATCATTCACACTAGTGCTCATGCTCTGCTTTTATAAACAAAGACTTGGAGCTTATCTTTGTCCTCTGTATTGCCCAGCTTCATGTGGTCTGGTTGGACAAGACATGAAGGCACACAGTCAGGGTTTTCTCCTATCAGTACACTGTTTTCTCGGTTTTCATCTGTATTGTAAGCCAAGAATAGCTATGAAAAACCCATCATCAGAGTCGACAGGGTTATTTATTTTTTTTTTTTACACTGTTCTCCAACAGGGGGCAACAATGGTTTAATGTTCCCACCCAAAAACTGCACTTATGAACATGTCTGTCAGTTTGCGCAAATACATTTTAAACTTTTTAAAACATATTTATTCTGTGAATTGGCTCAGCTGTCTTTTCTTTCACCAGCAGTATGAGCCTTTAACCCGGCGGAAGAGTTTAGGTTGATAGTCACAAATGGTTATGGTAGTTCTCAACACTGATTTTTAATAAATTTTTTGACTCCCTGAGAGGAAATTAAAATCTTTTACTCTTCTCCCAAAGATACGTCTACAGCCACCAGTCAAATTTACAGACTTAGTCAATGCCAGAAGTTGAACCAGTGATTATCTAATTCCTAATCTAGGTCCTTTAAGACAAAGGTGGCTTACCAATTTTAAAAAGTCAAATCTGTGACGAGCTTTTATGCCTAACTCTGAGTTACAATCATGTTTTAAAACAAAGAAAACTCCAGAAAAAGTCAGATGTGGACAACTTCATGGTAGAGAAATGAAGATGCCACCACCAAACACCTATTTTGTCACTGAGAGATATTTCCTTTCAAGTCAAATAGAACGAATGCAGATCATTTCTATGTGCAAACATGTAAATTCATTCACCTTTGAGTTGGAAATGGGTAAATCATTACTCGCTCAGAGTATCAAAGAGATCCCACACATGCTGCAGATGGTATTTGGGTTGTGGCCACAGGGCAACTATGATCTGTAATTTCACTGAACCCCTCTACTTCTGCATAAAAACACATGCTGGCTGTTGAACCACAGCCCTGCTGCTGTTTATCTTTTAGTTGCATTTCACCCAAGATACTCACATTTCATAATGAATTATTGGGTCATTAACACAGCAATCCAACCTGACACTTCTGTCCTCATATAAACCATGACGTGACTAAAAGAAAAAACTTCTAAAAATCCTCCTGTTTTAGTCTTTGAATTTACATCAAATGAATTACAGGTGTTAGATAAAAACTGAAATTACACACTTAGGTACACAAACAATAAAGTATGTTCACACTGTGCGCACTTCATAGATCAAATATGTGTGTGTGTGCCTCCAAATTGGCCTCTGTAGTGTCCCACTCTGTGGTGAGGCTGGCCACAATTTGTGAAGGCTGCCCTGACACTCCCACCACTCCCTCTGCCAACCAGAGGGAGGACTGTCACTACCAAGTCAGGACTTCACTCTCTCCACTTTCTCCTCATTGTGGCATTCATCACGGCATACTTCAGCTGAAGGAGAAAGGTAAGGCCCTGTTCGATCATCTTTATCATTTACATTATCTTAGGCACTGTTAGATCTATAATGAGAGCACCAGCTAACCAGATAAAACTCTGGGATGTGGACTGATCAAAGTGGAAGTGATGTTTGTCACACAGAAGCAGAACTTCACCAGTTATGATTTCTGTTAACTTAGATAGTTATTTTTAGTTTTACATCTTTATAAGTGGTTGTATGTACACCATATATATATATGCATGCATGTATCATCACTGTTATTTTTGTAGCCTCCTCTTAGCTTGATGTTACAGTGGCATGAATTTGGTTTGGCCACAAGTGACCAGCCATCAGGACAATGAGAAGACAAGCTAAATATACAGTATAACTGCATACATGCACCTCTGTGATTATGGGTCAGCGAGGTCTCCTCTGCCTTAGCACATGGCACAAGTCTCTCTCT